TGCGACGAGGGACAACAACAGAATGCCCTGCGCGCTGTGCATCGTATCCTTTACGAACGAACGAATTTCCGGCACCGGAGCGCAACACCGTGCTCAGGCGGCGGCACTTTACATAAACGTTGTCGCTGGCAACTTGAGCGCATACCGGTACCTGGCCGGCAGAGAATACTTGATTAATCAACTGGAGTCATATGAACAGGACAACCTGGCTACAATTCAGCGACAACGAGCTCGCGACCCGAGATGGGAAGAAACTCGACCACCAGTCCTAACAAATAGGCTGTTCGAGTACCGTCAGATGTTGGACCTGCAACGTCAACTTGACGACCAGAAGAAGATAAAGGAGGTCGATAGGAAGATCGCCACAATGCGAGTCCATCCACCACCGACCGATTTCGAACCGGAAATAAAGATTCGGGTACAGACACCCACACAGGGTCTCCCGACAGTCGGAGAATTAACTCCTACAATACGCGATGTCTTCGTCGGAGATTCGAACCGACCGATGGCCGGCGCATCTATAACGATGATGATGAATATGCCGGACGGAACTCAACAGCCAGTCACCTTCACACCGGCAACTCAGGAACAGTTGATGGCAATCCCACACAGGGCAATGCCAGTGGTCACACAGGCCCGTCCAACTGTTTCTCAGCAGATCCCTCAATCCGGAATCACAAATCGCGCTCAACAGCAGCGCCGACCGAGCAAAAACCTCGCGGGACATGATCTTAGACACCGGATCGGCCCAGTTGACCTTCGAGACAGAATCGAAGCGCAACGAGCCGTTATCCATGAAGCAGGAAAGGAGCCAACCAGAGCTCCACCAGGGAAACGTACTGGATCTGGAGAAACGGGGATCGGACTTACGGTCGACTTAACAAATAAGTCGAAACGTAACGTCATCCCACCTGAACAACGGCCGGAAGCCCAACAAGCGGAACCACCGGCCGAAGTCCAAGCTGAACTGGCAGCTCAACAGGAGCAGATGGACGTCGACGTAGCCGACCAGATGGCACAACTGCCACCAGTGGAAGTGCCGATCCGAGAAGACCCTCGCTATGACCGAGCTCGACAACAAGGAATCGAGGTCGTCATGCCACACCCTACCGAAAGGACGAACCACATTATGAACGTCATGAATTACGAGGAACGGTACCGACCACAAATCTGGCGGATGGTAGAAAACCTTCGTCAATTCCTCGTCCGATCCGGATACCAGGCGCTGTTCGAACAACATCAGTGGCGGTCCGACTTCAACATGAACGCGCACACAGCGCCGAATGTTGAACACCCGTACACTAGATCGAATGCGTTGCCGTCGATGACCGACCCGGTCTTGCTGAATGTACCATTGTACAGCCCGGACGGAACACGTGCGAGCCAACTAGGAGCTCGGGAATACTCCCATGACGAGTTGGAGAGTGTTGCCCAGTTCGTCATCACGGACGCACACCCAGCCTTTGTAATCACCGCGGCTCGGGCAGCACTGGATTTAACCCAGTACCTTCCGGAAGGAGAAGTCGACATGGCCCAGGACGGAGCCACGGCATTCCTGCGATTCATCTTCGCAGCTCGACTCGGCAATTACTTTTGCCATTACACCCTGTACGGACTGTACCACAATGAAGCGATACCAGCAGCTGTGGAAACCCTCGTAGCCCAACTCGGCACACCAATGAGAAGTGTTATCCTAGCTGTCTGGATGCGTGACTTGCTGTACACCCACGAACGGTATGCGACAAAGTATGCCTTTCGTGAGGATCACGTAGATCCCAGCGACGATGCAACCCGATTCATCAGCTGGTACCGCGAAAAGAAAACTTTGCCTAGCGGATTCAACTCGTCGCCCTACGAACCTTGGATGTCGGATGACATAGCACCCGGCGCACGACCGTTCGCGCTGCGGCTCCGCAAACAAGCGGCCAAGGAATCGAGGAAGAGCAGAGCGGAGCGCCCAGGCCAGAAACAGATGAGACCGACGAGATGTCTCAACGGAGCGGCCCGGCGACTTGTAAACCTAGGGACCCGAACATACGGCCACATAACCGACCTGGCCCGGACGATGATGAAGAAGAAGATTACTTCGGCGGCGATAAACCCGTCGAAGTTCCACTCAGTTAAGATCGAGTTCCCACACTGGAACTCGATCCCCATTGGAATAACTTTAAGGAGGCATTGCCGAGAAACGGCACGGTCGAGGACCGACCTTCCGACTGAGAAACAGTCTAGCTGAGAAACAGCGCCGTCGAGAACCGACTTCGGAATGGACACTTCTCTTTAGTTCTTTTTTTTGGAAAATGACCAACCATGTACGCGGCGGACGTCAACGACGATTTTGCCAGAAAAGCCGACTGCACAAGTCGGCCGGATTCTTTGGTCGGACCCGGAAACGCGTGGTTAGACCCGGGTATTTCGGCTCTTTCACCGTACCGGTACGTCCCCCAAAGAATCCCCTGGAACGAACTGGGCAATCGACCCAGTTCCCCAGCTTGGCAAAAACAGATCGTAACCACATCTGCTAACAGAGCAGATCGTCAACCACGTTCTGCGACCATCGGAGCCAACAGAAGCCCCAATCCGCGTTACATGGAGATCGATACTCCGGCCAACCGACTCCGGAGAAGAAACCGAGAGGATTACGCTAACATGGCGCGAAACACGTGACTGCGCGCGTTTCACGCCATGTTTGCCAAGCACCCGTGGCCACCTTCGGAACCGGGTAGCCGAGCAGCCTTCACCATTGTAAACAGCGGAAATCCCTCGGCCGAGCCGCCAACAGTGCAGGAAGACTCGGATTTGACTAGGTACGGGAGCCGACCACAAAGGTCGACTTCGTACTTTGCCCATAACTTGGAGACATAACGGATACTGCTGCGCAAGTCGACCACAAAGGTCGGTTGTGCAAGCCGATCACAAAGATCGGTTTTGGAGACCCAAACTGTTCGACCTGTAACGATGCAGATCGTTAAAACCACGACTCGCTACCTTCAAACGATCACACAGATCGACTGAGCATATGGTAGCCGACCAACAAGAAGTCGACCATGGATGGAAGCTGGCAGTAGCAACGTGGTAACTTAACCGGATTCTCCGTTTGAATCCAGACCTACAGGCTCTGTACCTGGAGATCAACCGCAGTCTCCCCCGGACGACATCGGGTAAACCAGCCGATTCACCGGTGACCACGACTACGCGCGTCTTCGAACGTGCTGCCATTCCCTGAAGAGGAACAGCGACGGTGATTTGGATACTGGTGTACCAACGACTCCGCCGCGACCTGCTTCCCCATGTCTCCAATGGAACATCCTAGGCAGACCGTGTTAGAATACGCGATCTGCACCCTCTTAATGAACCCCGCTGACAAGGATCATGCGGCCGCAACAAAAGTGGCAGCATGGCCTTCGTCAGCGGCAAAGAAAATTTCCCCGTGGACATGAGTCGTCTACCCCCAACAGAAGCGGCTAGGCGTCACAGGTTCGCGACAAAACAGAATGGAAAATCGGATCTGACGACCTCAGGGACTTGCATGTGCATGAAGTTTAAACCAAAGAGCTCGGCTCGGCAATCGGGCCACAAAGACCCTTAGCGTTGTGAGCGAGCGCAGTGCATGATGAAACGCCAGTCAATCGGCCAACAGATGCCGGAGGAAAACCTTACCTCGCAGGACTGGGCGACCCAGAAGCAAGCAATTCGGATTGACCGACCTCAACAGTAGCTCGGATCCGACCTGGAGTTCACGTCAGAGATCACAGAAGGAACGGAGTTGTGCTGCCGAACATCCCTCTGCCAGTCCGAACTGACCGAAGGATGTCCTGACACTACGGACCCGGCCAACTGTAGCCGAACGCACAGAACTCCTAAAATGAAGTCGACAACCATCAGACGGAGGTCGGAAGTAAGCGACAACAAGTCGGAAAATCAACCAGAAGTATGAAATCGACCTCCTAGTGGAAGAATTTAGCCTTTCGTCGGATAAAACACAGAGTTTTTCCGACTTGAGGAAGTCGGAAAATAGCCAACCTCCGAACTTGGACATGGATATCCGACCTCAAGCTGAAGTCGGAAGTGACCGCACAGAAGTTGGAAGGGTACGACAACAAGTCGGCAAAGACATTCAGAAGTCGAGAACCGACCTCCTAACGGAAAAATCCGACCTTCGGACGGATGGAAACATAGTTCATCCGACCTTCCGAAGTCGACTATAACCGACCACATGTCGGAAGTCGGCAACTCAGTCAACATGACGGAAGAAGAACGACAGATATCTGCGGTGGACGAATTCGACTTGAAGGAACTTGTTTAGCCCCACATGGGCATGTTATTGCAGGTTAACCCTAGTCGACCACTGACGGATAGGATAACCGACCTCGACAGAAGGTCGGATAACAACGGAACAGATTGGATGGAAGTCGACTGGACACTTCCATCGATGAAACTCATGAATTCCGACCGGACCTTCGAGCCAGTTCGACTCGGATTACTACAAACCAGGCTCGTGGTAGCAGATTGAACGGTTGTAACCGACCACTTTTGAACGGAACTGCTGTACATGACGACCACACAGGCCGCATGACTCACTTACAGCTTTTTCCGACCTGGACTTTAGCAATTCGGAACATAGCCGAATTCCCTTAGCCGCCGGTCGACTTACCGGTAGGCCGACCTTGGTCAAACCGACCTCGGTTCTATTCCCCATTCAGAGAGGATGCCTCGGCATTTGCAACCGCAACAGTGCCTCTCTATCCCGAACGGACGGATACGAGTCGGAAGTAAGTGTTTAACCGTGCTTATCCGACCTCGGTGAATTTAACCGGTTACGACGGGTAACCCGGGAACCGATGCCCCGGACCCAACTTACCGGATGAAAGTGGACAGGAGACCCCGTGGAGACTCAACTGCCCCGTGGACGTCATCCTAGTCGGAATAGGACCCCCGGACAGATTTTTGCAATTTTTTTCATTATTAGCATTTTTCCTAACAAACGGAATTGTATTTTTCTAGTTCGATCTCTTTGACAGATCTGTTTTGTAACCCCTTTTGCTCACTGGAATTGTGATTAAACTTTATTTCATACTTTCTTTCGCGCTGTATACAACTTTCATTACACTTTTCTTTCACATTGTTCTCCGTTGCCAACAGAAGCAAGAAGCCAGCCAACAGAAGCAACACCGGTCCAACGAAACGCCCGAGCGGCTTCCGGATTTTTCGGCCGTGAGTGGCTTCCACTCATGGGTTCGGAAGTGAAGAAGGGACGGTCGACCAGACACCGGACTCCCACTGCCAGAGGACGCGTACCAGCGACCCCACATTGGGTCCGACTGGAGAGTTGTGCGGTACTGGTGCGGTACCGAGTCGGAGCATCCTTCGCAGGAGCTCGGATTCCCGCCCAGAGGCATGTCAGAGGCACATGACTGCGCCTGGTGCATACGGCCCACCATGGACGTACTGCACTCATGCTTGCCATACCGCCTCTCTCGCTGTACGTACGTGTGCTGCTGCACTGCACTCATACCCGCTGAAGCGGATATATGCGGCGCACACACTGAGCATACTTGCTCTCTCGTCCCTCTCTCGCTGTATGACTCAGCGTACGCTCGCGTTGGATTGAGTCCAGTCTGCGCATCATCACACAGCTGATGGCACACAGCACGTGCTTGCCGCCAGTTGCTTCTTTCACGCCTTGACGAACGCTCAAGAGCTCTTCTAGCATTCACTTGCTTGTTAGCCATCAGTGCTTTGTTTTGCTTTCCCTGCTATTACGCAGCATTGTTCCCTTTATTTGTCAATAAAGCACACTCGTGATCTCCTCGCGCTTGCCTGTTACATGACTGAAGTAAATTAGTTGTTAAGGCTGATCGTGAGTAAACGGTAAGTGATATTCGTGAATCGTATTATTTCATCCATTTAATGCAGGCTTACTGTACAGTAGTTGTTACTAAGAGTGTAAGAGCTATGTAGTAAGACATTTGGGTTTTACCATTAGGGTTCTTGGATTTTCGCTGCTTTTATAAGTTTCGCTTTCGGATTTCTGCAGTTTGTTAACGGTGAGAGTAGAACTGGAGACTGTGATAGTCCGAACATATCTCGTACTTCGTACATCATCTCTATAATATTTTTGTGAGCTGTTATGACACTTTTCGCTTTTGACTCTTTGAGCATAAAATATGAATGAGATTGGCTTGTCATTTATGTGTTATAAGCACACATCGCATTCGCATTAAGAGCGCCATTTTTCCGATCTCACGGTGGCATGCTTCTCAGTCGCTTAGCTCAGAAACTAATCATTTAATGTTTCAGTTTTCCGAAGCATCCTCTTCGGTCGCCGTGCCCCATAGGGGGCTGCGCGGAACGTACCACTGGGCACCGAGCCATTAAACTTGATGTTAAATTTGTTAAATCACATTACTACTTATAACTATTACTATTTACACTGTTCATTTTTTATATTACTTTATTTCTAATATTAATTCTTAGTATTAATTCTTGGGTAGGATCCCAGTACCCATTCCATCTTAGCTGGAGAGTTGTGAGGCGTATTCCACCCATCAGGATATGAGTTTTTCCTTCCCACATTCACCGATCGCCAGCCAGAATGCGGAGCCGGGTGTTCCCAGCACGCTTCCAGATGAGAATTCCGGCCTGACCGCCGCCCGCTCTCCCGCTAGTGTGCACGACGCTCCGCCGCCCCCGGGTGACACTTCCATAGACGGCCGTATACCAGCGCCGAACGTATCGCTTCCGGTCGAACAGGACGACCGGATGCAGGGCGGTGCGACGGAACTGCCGCCCTGCGGTGGCGACCTGTGGAATAGCGCGCTGGACGCCTTTATTGAGGGGATGCAGCAGCTTGACTTGGAGGATGCCGACGACACCGAGCCCGGCAAAGGGAACAAGCGCACCATGAAGAACCCGCAGCCGACGACGTCGCCGGATGCACCGACAGTGGATTGGGCCACCGTTGACCACTGCCTGCAGGCGTTGCTGCACGTTGGATACTGCCGGGAGACCGTTTGCAGCCAGCCCGGCTGTGACAAGATGAAGATCCTCCTCTGCCACACCAAGACCTGCCCACATAAACCCGAATTGCAATGTTCGCTCTGCTGGCCGCTGATCGCGGTGTGCTGCTATCACGCTAAGCAGTGCCACGAGCCTCAATGTCTCGTGCCCTTCTGCCAAGTGATCCGCGCCAAGTGGGAACTGCAACGCCAGCAGCAGGAGATCCAGCGGCAGCAGTTTAATCGGCGCCGCGCGGCCATCATGCAGCGTATCATGCCGGGGACCATCGACGCGACGCAGGGCGTGGCGTATGTCGTCAGGGTGCCCATTCCGCAGCCGGAACAGCAGCGCAACAGTTTGCTCGTCCAATCTCTTCCGCCGCCGTTGGAAGGTATGCCGGCGCCCTCGGGACCGCGGATGGACGGTCAGTCCGTGACGGCGTTGGAGTTAAAGGCTCCGTCCAGTACCAGCACCCTGCCGGCGAAGGATGGCGGCGTTCAGGGCTCCCTCCCCGGGACATCGGTGGCGTCGCCGGCCGACATCCTCAGCAGCCTCATATCGTCGCTATCGACTACCTCTCCGCTGGACAATCATCCGCAGTTCGTGCCGCAGCCGGTGGCCGTCAAAGAGTGGCATGTGCAGGTGTTCGGCCCCGACGGGCGGGCCCGTGCTGATTCATTACGGAGGCATATGATCGAAAAACTGTACGTATTAAGTGCGACGTTATTAAAGGCAGAACCACAAGTGGATAAAATCTTGGCCATTAGGGTTCACATGAGCAGAAACCAAGTACTGTACTGTATTTAGTATTTACTTATAGAATTCGGCTATTTCATTTTCATATGCCTCTGTGACCCTTAAATTTGTGTCTTTTGTGGTTAATATGTAATTATACTACATAACAAAATATGTTAAGTACCCATATAATATCTTTGTAATCATGCAAGTACTAAGTACATACGCAGCATCCGAAGAACAGAAAAGTACCAACGTTTTTTGTTTTCTTTTATTTGTATAGATTTTTCTCAATTTTTTTGTGATTATTAGTGTACAAGCCATCTTCCCGCACAAAGACCCGTCGGCCTTGACCGACCGGCGCATGGCCAACCTCATCGGCTACACCCGCAAACTGGAGGCGGAAATGTACGAAGAGGCTAACACCCTCGAAGAATACTACCAGCTGCTGGCCGCAAAGATCTACAAAATCCAGCAGGAGCTGGAGGAGAAACGCCGGAAGCGGCGGGAGGAGGCCCGGCTGCGTCTCGCGGGGGCGGGCGGAATGGGCGGCGGCGTCCTGCCTTCCGTTTATTCCCCGGCCAGTATGGAGCTGCTGGTCCGCCTCCGCGATTTTTTGCAGGACATTCCTGTACTGATGTTTAGCGGGGGGAAGAAGGCCCGGATGGAGGACCCCGGCGACGGGAGGGAAGGACAGCCGGCGCAGGACGCTGTGCAGCCTCGATAAGCGTAATGTTTTCTTATTATTACTGATGTTTACTTATGTTTTCAGCGTTGTCATGTGTCGTTATAGTTCCCGTACTGGTGCCACGTCCCGACATTATATCCTTTACTGGGAATTGCCGGTGTCCGTGCTGTCATCATTATTATCCAACGTAACCCGCATTTCCCATACCGAGGACTAGTGGATCGGTTCAACTAGGATGCCAAAGTATTTAATAATGGTCTCATTTTAGCTGCTAAGGTAATAATTACAGCACAGCGTACAAAACTATAGCAGTGACGTAGCGCTACTAGCGCATGGAAATTTGGAATTATGTCGTGCTCACCGGTACAGCGGAAGCGGTCATTTCCTAACAAGCATTTTGCCTTTATCAATTTTCTGGAGATCATGAATTTTTAGTTTAGCCGACGCAACAAATGTGCGAATATTGTGGTTATTTAATACGTTTTATACAGTGAAGACTTATTAACCGGGTCTTAATTGCACTAATTTGGATTTGGTTGAAATTGTTTTGCTGGCTGTTTCCTTAAGAAGTTTGCTGCTGTTTTTTGCTGTTTCCTTAAGGTTACTAACTGTAGTATAAAACTAAATATAAACTGTTTAGGCATATGGATTATGCACATTAGTCTGACGGAGAGATCAGTACGATAGAAATAAATTACCGTAATAATTTGTATGTCCTACTCTAGTAATCCTACCGCCCTACTCAACGACAGAGTATGAGCTGATAATCTCAATGTGGCATAGCTAACAAAGTAAGGCTACGAAGCTACGCGAAGCGAGAACTGCACCTCCGACGATAATTTAATTAATAACTCAGTTCGAACTGCCAGAATGCGAGAACTGATGATGCCAAAGTACAGTACTGCCACACACGGACACGGCGCATCCGGTTAGAAAAACAACGTATCACTAAAATAAAAGAGAAAGATCTAGAAAGTACACATAATAATAGCCGTAAAGTACGAGTACAGATACTAAACGTATGTACTACTAACTACGCTGCTACCGTATTGTACACCATATTCCGTCAAGTCGCAGAATTGTTCCTTATATTTCGAATTTCCCATATATTTGTACGGAAGAAAACGCGGTGTGACTGCCAAACTATATATGACGGCGTTTCCTGTGCTCGAACAAGGAACATCCGCGTCAGTAACGGTCAGCTGCAGCGTATATAACCACTATGTACGTATACTCCCTAGTCCCTAGTATCATTTAAGCAGATACGAAGGCAATAAGAATGTCCATATTAAATTTTAATAATATCAACGTATTCATGTTGCCCACTGCAACAGTACATTTAACCGGCGTTCGGCAATCAAGTATCATGGCCACACACATATTGCGGCAACTGTCCGGCACACAACACTGGCGGCATTATTCATTGCGCCGTCCGCAATGAGTGGATGATTTCTTTTAAATGCAAACAGAAAAAGTTAAGATGGCGCTGTTATACCACTCTGCACGTGTACGCTCATTGTCGAATTTTTACGTTTTCACGATCTGTACGTAACGGGCTATCGATACACGATACAGTTGTTGCCTTCCGTGTTCGCACGCCAACACGTGCCACTCGTACAACACCGTCAAAACTCTGTAAGAATGCCCATTGGTCGGCGTGCCACCGAGGACTAATCGCCTTTCACGCTGAATCCCGCCCACCAATGAGCGGCCGCGACAGCGCCCACCGCGCCGTTCATTCATTGAGAAAAGTAACCCGGCGCACACCCGCACACTCCCCGTGCGATTTAGAGTGCATGAGAATTTTTGACGGAGATCTATCGTCAGTGCACGATTTAACTCTACACCTTAATCACCGTTGTGAATAAACCCGGCGCAGACACGTGCCGCCCCGTACACGTCCGCAGTCAATGCACCGCTGGCAACCGCTCACTGCCAGCTTGTGGCGAGAATTGTTTTAAAGTTGAACAAACGCTTTGATTGCTGTGAGAAGAATCCGCGAGCCATTTTCTCCTCATCCAGATTCTCCTCATCACGACACCCCAGCGTATCCTCGTTACGGGGCGAATTTTCATCCTGAATGTTTGCTCTTCCTCGGGCAGTGGTTGGCCGCCAGCGCCGAGCAGAATGTGACGGACAGTATCCGTCCGAGTTCGTGGGTGCTGCTGCAGTGGCAGCAACACACGTTCTGACTGTGTAGTGTGTATCGTTCGTATCTGTAATCGTTATTGCATGCCCATGTTTCGACGGCCAGAGTCCCGCGGTGGACGCTCTTCCCCGTATCTCCCCTTGATCATCCCCTGCCTGGATATTTATTCCAAGTGAATTTGATGTTTTTTCGTGTTTCCGTGGGGAACGCGCAAAGAAATCGTCAGTTTTGTCAGCTGCGTGTGGAGCCCTGTTATCCGTCTGTGGAGACGGCGTCTTCCTCCTCCGCACTCCCCTCCGCCGCTCCGCAATCCCGTGGAAACGGGAGATTTTCGTTGATCCGTGAAGAATTGTCAGTGGTGTACGGCCGTTGGTCGGATCCGTGTGTCCGTTGTGATCGGCGTGGATTTCCGTGTCGTCCCATGTTGGCCATTGCTCCGCGTTGATCTTGATGTTGTTTTCCGTTGAGATTATTTATTTTCCCCGGACAGAGTGTCTATCGGCGTGGAAATGAACGATCATAATGTCGGTGATGGTCCCGTGGCCAAAAAAGCGCGTATCAATGCACAGGATTCTTCAGGTTTGCTTACACGGCGTTTTTTTTGCAGTGTTTTCTCGCTTTTTTCGCTATTTTTTGGTGTTGTATTACGTTAAAAATTATCAGGAAAAAACCGTTAAAAAATCTGCGTAAAATTAGCGATTTTGTCGGAGTTCGCACGAGGCAGGGAAAAGAAAAGATTGAAAAAAAGGAGGTCGTCGGGTGTTCACACATTCATTCACTGTAAAATTGTAAATATAGTGTAAAATTTTGAAACGTGTAATTAAATAATACGTTTATTAGTCAGAATTTCCCTCAAATGCAGACATAAATTAAATGAAAAATTGAAATAATTTTATCCAGATGTTGCTGCGATCTCTGAGAAAAAAACTGCGCAGGAAATGCTCACGATTACCAACAGTTATCAGACAGCAGAGATTGTGCCTGAAAGTGAATGTTGCATTTTGAATTATTGGCAGTGTTTATATTGCTATATCTGCTTACGCAAATTTGTTTTTCTAAGTTTTGTATGTGTGATTATTTTTTCTTAATATTTCGTATGCAGCATTGCAAAATCTGTGAAAGTGGATGCCAGTGTTGTCAGTTGAGCGCGCAAGAGATCGTTGGCTCATTTGGTTGTTCGAAGAGGAAGTGAGAGAAGTTGGCTGTGCTTTGATACTATTAAACGCAAGGACTCTCTGAATTCTTCATATTCTATGCTCTTGCATCTTTTAAATCCAGGTAATCATGCTTGAAAATTTGATTAATTTGCCGTTGATACATTTGTGAGCAAAAGATGCGAGATATTTGAGTTACTCAGATGTTTTCGTGTTATTTGAAGAACTTATGAAGTTTTCTGAACATATTAGCAATTTTTTGATCCTTTTAGGTCTCCGTACAGTTGTTTATGTAACTTTCTTAGCGTTTGTTTGTTGGGAAAGCGTTCATAAATATTGGGAATGGTACAATGATGGGGATAAAAATTTTGCTGATGTAGGAGATCGTAGCTTGCATGTTTAGCTTGTGAGGTTTCTGGTTGCAGTAGACAGCAGTTCGTTATCATTTATTTTGCCAATAATCTTGATGGGACTATCAGTATTCTTCTGTTTTTGCTATGCAGGACCAGTTTACACGATGGTTCAGTGGTAAATGATTTGCTCGTGAAAGGCATTGGATGATAAAACTTAAAAACAACTTGTGAATAATGAAGTGATTCGTGGTTGTGGAGCTGTTTCGTTGACAGAGTGTGTCTGGCATTGCAGAATCCGACGTGTACAACAACCAGTTCCAGAGCCTGATGGCTCTGGAGGGTCTCCTCCACCAGGAGCTGAACAGCTCCGGCTCCTCCAACGCCCGGCCCACCTCCCAGCCGGCGGAGGGCCTACCCCCCAAACCCCCCGAGACGCTGACGCTCAACGGCCTCCTGGACGCGCCCCCCTACGACCCCCACCCCCCCAGCAACCAGTCCAGCGATGGCCCGCTGCAGCCGGCCCCCTCACCGCAGCGCCAGCACCCGCACCAGCAGCTCAGCCAGCTCCTGGCCAAGACCCCGCATTCCCAGCCCATGCCCACCGGGATGGCGCCCAATGATCCCGCGGCGCGCCAGAGCCCCATCAACCACCAACAAGCGCCGCCGCCGCAGCAACAACAACCAATGCGCCAGTCCCCGCACCTTCCCACCCAGCGCACCAACACCCCCGGGGGCGGGATGCACGGCGGCAATCTGGGCCTGACCACCAACGGCTTCCAGGGATTCCCGGGCGGTCCTGGAGGCCCGCCGCCGCAGCAGGCTCAACCGCAGTACATGAACGGTCCCATGCCGCAGCCGAATATGCCGTATCCGGTGCAGCAGAACGGCCCGCAGTCCGTCAACCAGATGCGGCCGGGGATGCCGCAGCGTCCGGGCATGCCGCCGCAGGGACTCCGGCCCGCCACGATGGGCCCGCGACCCGGCATGGTCAAGGTAGGAGGTGTTTAATTGGCATTTTTGCAACAAAAATTCACTGTTTTTCCTAATTTTGCAGATGAACCCGGGTCCGGGGATGATGGGCGGCGGTCAGATGCCGCCCAACGGTCGTCCCATGATACAGAACTTCCAGCCACCCGTCTCCCAGATAAACATGAACCCCATGTCGCCCATGAACGTCAATGTGCAGAACGCGGTGAACTTGCAGCCACCGCCGCCGCAGGGACCCGGGGTGGGTACCCCTCAAGGTCCCGGAGGAGGTCCCAACGTGGCGGTGGCTAACCAGCTGAGTCCGCCCAGTGTCGATCATCCCGAGAAGCGCAAGATCATCCAGCAGCAGTTGGTGCTGCTGCTGCACGCGCACAAGTGCCAGCGGCGGGAGATGCAGACGGGCGGGGAACCCGCGCAACAACCCAAGCAGGAGTGCAAGCTGCCGCACTGTCGCACCATGAAGAACGTCCTCACGCACATGACGCAGTGTGTCGCCGGCAAACAGTGTCCTAGTGAGTATTCCGTATACAATTTTTTTAAAATTAAACAGGAAAAATTATAAAACTTTATTAATAAGTATTTTTTGTTATTTTTGATATTAACGTGTTCTTTTTTAGTTCCGCATTGTGCCTCATCCAGACAGATTATCCAGCACTGGAAGACCTGCACCCGCGGCGACTGCCCGGTGTGTCTGCCTCTGAAACAGGCCTCTGATCGCAACAAACCTGCTGGCAGCTTCGGTATATTCATAAGCGAAATAAGGACGACGGTGTGAATGGTATTTGACGATGCGGTTGTTTTATCTCGTAGATTTTCAAGTGCCGAATCAAGGCAACGTGGCCGCCCCGGTGTCCAATGCCCTGCAGATGGGCGCGGCCGGAGGCGGGAAACCGCTTCCCGGCGGTCCCGGCGCCCGCAACATGATGGTCAATCCGCAGGTGGTGCCGCAGACCGGCGCACAACAAGCCAGAATGATGGGTACGTGTTAGTGTATTCGGTAATAATTTCTTTCTGAATAAACGCGACAGTTGTATTAACACTAGCGTGATGGGCGGATAGAGTCGCTTCAAGACATATAGCACCTAACGCGCACATGCGATCTCCTTCGGAGTAACTTGTATCCTCGTGGAAATCACTTTTCTCTCTATCATGATTAATGTTTCACGAAAATCTCGAAACTGACAATTTCACATGAAGGAAATGCACAGACTTCCGGCGGGTGATGCAGTTTCTAACGCACGTTCGATCAGCGTAAATGTGAATATCCTCCTGAAAGTTTCCCTTTTGATTTTCACTACACGAAAAAAGTGACTTTCTCTTCTCTATCTCGAATGAGAAAATTAAGGATGATGAACAAGGAACCATTAACAAGAAAGTTGTCAGTAAGCCGTTTGCCGGCAGACTGACGATCGATCTGTCTCCACGACGCTTAGAAAATTTCGATGTACAATACTTCGTGAATCGAACGTGCATTGTTGCGGGTGTTAAGTGAACGATTACGAAGTAAGCTGATTCCGCTTCTCGCAACATAGTTGAGCAAACGGTACGAATTTCTTGATAGTTGGCGCAGGAACATGTTAACGGGCTAGGAAGCTTTCATGGGGCAACGAATATGATGAAAGAATTCCGAAATAGCGATAAAGAATACGTATAATTTGATGCGAAATACCGTGCCTTTTTTATTATTATTTATTATTATTATTATTATTCATCGTGGAGCAGGTAGCCCATTTCCGGCTAGGGTGACATTCTAGCTGGGATTTTAAAACCTGGCCAAATAGTAAAATCGAAAAGCACGAGTGCAGATAGACAGAAAAGATTCCTTAAGCAAAACTGACACGGTTCAAAGCTTGCTTAAAAGCTCCAATAGTACGAATTTCGAACAAATCAGAAGAATTAGAATCAATTGCGTAAAGGGACAACTTTTTGACTGTGTTATTTCATGTTCGGATTTCTACAGGCGACGCGGACGGCTTAGGCGTGGGGCAAGGCCTCTCCATGCCCGGGAACCAGATGTACGGCGGCGGCGCCCAGGTGGCGACGCCCTTGTCGAACCTGTCCAACTCCAACCAGGACGGCGGCGTGATGAGTCCGCCGCCGCCGCAGGGCTCCCTGCCCGGGACGTCGGTGGTGTCGCCGGCCAACACGTTGATCAGTCTCATGTCGCCGCCCTCCGCCAACTCCCCGCTGGCCAACAATCCGCAGTTCGGGCCGCAGCAGGTGGCCGTCAAGGAGTGGCATCTGCAGGTGGTCGGCGCCGACGGCCGCTCCAGCACCGACTCCCTGCGCAACCATCTCATCCACAAACTGTACGTAATCATGCCGCTGTTCTTACTGATAGCATATTTCTCCAGCAGAATGCAATCACTGACACTAATTCATCGTAAATTAAACACTTACGTCCTGTGTCTGCCAAGTGTGTATTTGTTGTAGATATATGCATTTAGACACGATGTAAGTACTCAGCATCCGAAGAAGAAAAAAAGTACCAATGTTTTTCTCGGTTTTTAAGTTATCTTGGATTTTTCTCGCACAAATAAAGCGATTTTTAAAAGAAAATTTTAAATGCCTTTGCTGTTATTGCAGTGTACAAGCCATCTTCCCGTACAAGGACCAGTCAGCCGTGCAGGACAAACGCATGACCAACCTCATCTCCTACGCGCGCAAAGTGGAGGCCGAGATGTACGAGCAGGCCAACACCCGCGAAGAGTACTACCAGCTGCTGGCCGAGAAGATCTACAAAATCCAGAAGGAGCTAGAGGAGAAGCGCCGCAATCGCCAGGAACTGCGCCGCGTCCTCCCCGGCCAGCCGCCCCTCCACAACGGCGTCCCCTTCCCCGGGAACGGCGGTCCGCTGCGGATGCGGCCCCCGGGGGCGGACGGCATGGGCGGCGGGGTGATGAGTCCCCTGATGGGCGGGATGGGCGACGCCGGGCTCCTGCGGCAGCGCATGCAGGGCCCCGGCTACCAGAACATGCCCATGGGCCAGTTCCCCGGGATGCAGCAGCCGCCCTACCAAGAGATGAAGTTGGAGAACGAGTACCAGCCCGGGATGATGGAGCAGCACGAGATGGGTCCACCGGAGTACCAGGACGGCGGGTATCCGCCCCAGGAACCTCCGGAGCAGCACATCAAAACGGAGCCGCTGTCTGGAGAGGATGCCGGGGAGAATGCCGCTCCCGCGGTGCAGCAGCAGGGCGGGTCGCCGGCGGTCCAGCCCAACAGTGTGCACTCGTCCATCCCGGAGAATGAGACGGTGAAACAGGAGGAGAACGCCGAGGGCGGCGGGGGCAGCAGTCAGGGGTCCACGGCGTCCCTGAGCTCCATCGGGTCGACGGCGTCCCCCAGTCGCGAACCCACCGGACCGCGCGGACCGGTCGGGAAGAAGGTGCATCCCAAGGAGGAGCTCCTGACGGCGCTGTCGCCCATTGTCACACGGCTGTACAATATGGAGGAGGGCATGGCCTTCCGGGTGCCGGTTAATCCGCAAGAACTGAATATTCCGGTCAGTTGGTATTTTTGATTTTTTTTGTGTATTCAATTGTGATTAATTTTTGTGTATTTTTTACAGGATTATTTTGACATTATCAAGAACCCCATGGATCTGTCGACGATGCAGAAGAAGCTGGAGGCGGGTGACTATGAAGACCCGTGGCAGTTTATCGACGATATGTATCTCATGTTTAATAACGCGTGGATCTACAATCGCAAGGGCACCAGAGTGTACAAGCACTGCAGCAAGGTACGTGCTTCTGAAGAGATTTTTCATTTTATCCTGTAAGTAGTTACTGTCAGTTTTTCGAGTAATAGAGTAACGAGTGTAAAAAATAAGCGATTTTCTTATACTGCATTTTCTGAGATATGGCATTAAACTCCTTGCAGCCCTGACAGACGGTTCTGCCAATGTTCTACGTTTTGTGGTGATGTTTAGTGATTTTGATGCGAAGTACGAAGTACGACAGCCTCCTCCTCGATAAGCGTTGGCCGTGTGTTAATGTGCTTCACTCAGTAATACAGTTAACGTTAATAGCTGCTGTTTATATCACGGATTTTCTTACATTTTGTTGTATCGGAAGTGAAATGTTTTTATTAGGGAAATCAAGTGTATTATCAATGAGCAGGAAATGACGAATGTTGTGTTGCAGTTGGCGGAAGTGTTCGAAGTGGAGATTGACCCGGTGATGCAGACGCTGGGCTACTGCTGCGGCCATCGGTACGTCTTCCAGCCGCAGGTGCTGTGCTGCTACGGGAAGCAGCTGTGCACCATTCCGCGCGACACCTGCTACATGAGCTACCAGGACCGCTACACCTACTGCCAGCGCTGCTTCGCCGACATGCCCGGCGAGACGGTGACGCTGGGCGACGACCCCTCCCAGCCCAACACCGTCATCCGCAAGGAGTGCTTCGCCGAGAAGAAGAACGACACCGTCGACTATGAACCGTACGTTTTTCTTTCTTACTATAGCAGCTGGATATTTCATTAAGATTTTTAACGATAGTTTAATAAGTCGATCAATCAGAAGTGACAATTAATCCGTGGAATAATTTAGAATTATCCGTCCGGTATCACACAGAAACTTTCAAGAATGTGTTAAAAAGTGTATCAAAATATAGTAAGATGTGATGTATCAAAAAAAATGTGGTATGTAATTTATCGCTTGCAGAGCGGTTAATGAAAACGTGTTGTTATTTCTCTCATTTTTTATTATTTTAAGAGCTGTCAGATCCGGGTGCTTCAGCCATTCCACTACAATGTTCTACGATTGTAATGCGCACGTAGCAGCTTGCGTGCGACCGTTCAGTTTTTACCGCCTTACTTGTGTTTCAGTTAGATTTGATTGACAGATATCTCATGAATAATAACCGTCCCAATTTGTTATCAACAGCAGGATAAAAAATAGACAAACTCACGGAAAATAATTATAAAAATGTTTGGCCATTGCAGATATATTGTCTGTAAAGCGTGCGGACGGAAAAATCACCAGATCTGTGCGCTGCATCTCGATCCCATTTGGCCGGAAGGGTAAGCAGAAGGAATCACATAATCAGTGTGTTTAATTTTTTTATTCCATGCTCGGTGTTGTAGTTATACTTGTGAAGGATGTCTCAAAGCCCTGGGAAAGAAGAGGCGCGACAATCGCTTCTCCGCCAAAAGTAAGCATTTTTAAGCTATATTTATATTTTATCAAAGCGGCGATTCCTGTTAGTTAGTCTTAAATTCGGCGCATTTGCAATATTCTCTGTAGCTGCAACAGACGTGTGTATTAGGTGCACAGGGATGGTATGACATGAGCATGACTTATCAGCATTTTTGTCGTTTGTGCAGAGCTGCCGCAGACCAAACTGGGCCAGTACATCGAAGCGCACATCAACAGCTATCTGCAGACCAAGAACATCACGGACGCCGGCGAAGTGACCATCCGGGTGCTGTCCAGCAGCGACAAGGTGGTGGAGGTGAAACCCGGCATGAAGCACAAGTTCGCCGACACCAACGAGTTCGCCGAGAGCTTCCCCTACAAGACCAAGGCCATCTTCGCCTTCGAGGAGATCGACGGGACGGATGTGTGCTTCTTCGGCATGCACGTGCAGGAGTACGGCTCCGACTGTCCCGCGCCCAACGCCCGCCGCATCTACATCGCCTACCTGGACTCGGTGCACTTCTTCCGGCCCAAACACGTGCGCACCGCGGTGTACCATGAGATCCTCCTCAGCTACATTAACTACTGCAAAAATCTCGGGTAAGCCACGGAGCAGACAGTGAGAAGACGGGTGGAACGCACGAGAAAACGCATTTTAATACACATGTTTTTTAATCATTAAGGAACGTGTGTGATAATCGCGGTAACACTGATAGTGAAGAGTGCGTCAGCTAAATGCGCTGTTGATGGATTGTACATGTATACCGGGAAGAATTTTAGAAAATTCGGTTTCCGTCTTTCGTAATCACAGCTTTGGGGGTTTCGGCTTGAATTCTTGAAACGTGAGGGAAAGGTTTCGAATGATTCACATTTCATACTGAAATCATTTTAATACCGAATGGAGCGTTGGCAACCGCTTGGAATACAGAAATAATTTCTTTAAAAATAAACTGCATTTTACCCAAAGGTATTTTGAATCGAGGAACTACTGATCACTGAATTATAATTACTGGGAGTTTCCTGTGATAAATGTAGAACTGAAGAAAGTATCTGCCGTTCCCTGATTTTATGTAAAATCGTTTGCTTAATACAACAAATAAAAATTAATAAGAAATCAGTTCTCTATATTTAAGATTTTATTACTATGGGAATCTCGTTTAGCAACTTTTCCGAGTGATGTAATTGGTTGGTAATGCCAGTGCTCTACGTTATTTGTGCCAGTACTAAGGATTGTAATTTGACCGGTTATTGGTAGATATGTCGCATGGGTGTATACTGGAAGAAAGCAGCGAAATAGGAGGCATCTTGAAATCTATTTGACAAACCGACATAAAGCGCAGACGCGGAAACACCGAAACACTGCTTTATAGTTAAATTTTAAACATTGATTAACCAACCAAAATCTCTATCGTCCTCCCTTGAGTTAAAAGGTAACCGAATTAACACCGCTGTAGCATTTCCTTTAATAGCAGCCAAACCAAAATGCTGCTGGAGAAAACAGTAGAACGCGCTTCTCCAGTCAGTTGAGGAATTTTTCGACCCATAAAATGCCACAGTTCGCTTAAATCTGGGCCGAACACACCCCACGTTTCAACCGCTAACGGATAAAATGATGTGGATTTTGACGAAGAGTATGTGTTGACAGGTACTCGATGGCGCACATCTGGGCGTGCCCGCCCAGCGAAGGCGACGACTACGTGTTCCACTGTCATCCGCCCGAGCAGAAGATCCCCAAGCCCAAACGCCTGCAGGAATGGTACAAGAAGATGCTGGACAAGGGCATGAACGACAAGATCATCCTGGAGTACAAGGACATCTACCGGCATTCGGTGGAGGACGCCGTGGGCAGCGCCACGGAGCTGCCGTACTTCGAGGGCGACTTCTGGCCCAACGTGCTGGAGGAGTGCATCAAGGAGGTGGAGCAGTTGGAGCTGAAGGAGAAGGAGGAGCGGCAGAGTGTGGAGGACAGTGAGGACAGCGATGATACCAGTAGTGAGCCGGGGAAAGGGAAGAAGCGGACGAAGAAGAGCCAGAGCCATAAGAAGCAGCGCAGTAGTAAGCAGAATTCCCGCAAGAGCACCAAGAAGGTGTTGGCGGGGATTGGGATCAACAGCAGTACGCTGACGCAGAAGATCTTCCAGACCATGGATAAGCACAAAGATGTAAGTGTATTTTATGGCCAATACTCAACCACCAGAAAATTCCTAATCTGTTTCTCATTTCGAGAATTAATCGGGTTCCTAATCAGTTGCCAAATTAATACTGCTCGCCAGTGATTTTCGGTTTCTGAAATAAGTAAATGTAAATAACTGATTAATTTGTAAATTTTCGATATTTGTAACGTAATGTTTGCGTTTCCCGTACGTGAATTTCGGTAATTGTTAAAGATGAATTTAGCTGGGATTGTCTTAAAAAAAGTGAAAACGTTTATGGTCATTTGTAGCAGTTTTATTGCTGAGTATGTACTATCATGACTACCATGTGGCATTTATTCAGCCATTGGTTAAATCGTGAACTATATTGCCCTTGTACTACGTTGCTATTAATTTACAAGATGCGATTACAGTTATGATTTGTGCGATTAATCGCAGGGTAACTGATAGATTTTTTCGTACGTTTTGCTGCTTATTATTTGGCGTGGAGATTATATGACTTAGCCGGTGTTTGGTCGGGTGTTTGTAGGTGTTTTTTGTGATTCGTTTGCATCCGGTGAACCGGCTGGCCCAGCTGCCGCAGGTGGTGGATCCCGATCCGCTGATCAGCTGTGAGCTGATGGACGGCCGCGACGCCTTCCTGACCATCGCGCGCGACAAACACTACGAGTTCTCCTCGCTGCGCCGTGCCAAATTCTCTTCCATGGCCATGCTCTTCGAGCTGCACAACCAGGGCCAGGACCGCTTCGTCTACACCTGCAACTCCTGCAAGAACCACGTCGAGACGCGCTGGCACTGCTCCGTCTGCGATGTACGTCCTGTATTTCAATGTATTTTTTGCTGTCGTCGTTATTTACAGCTTTTCAGATACGGATTTTCAGTAAATTATTTTTTAATTTTAATCCCTAATTTTTTGATTACCCATGGATTGTAATAAAAATATATTGTAGAATTTTATTTCCTGGTTTCTTACTGTACTTATGAACGTACGATACAGCGTTGTAGCGTACGTTGATTTCAAATTTTCAGTTGAAGTCTTTGTAACTTTTATTGCTCAGTATATGTACACACGAACGCGTACCCACAAATCCAGGTGAATACTTCGATAATTTGTTCTACGGATCGATTGGTAGTTGGACTTGCTTACCGGAAATTTTGTAGAATTTTTTAAAAAAATGTATCTTTTAGTTTCTGTAATTATGGCCCGATAATCGAACACGGGTAGATTTTTTATTCCATTTTTCTGTGTTTTATAAAGAAGACCAGTTCTCTTGACCTTTGGCTAGCCTGGTGTTTTCTGATGTAGGACTACGACCTGTGCGTGCAGTGTTACGAGAAAGACGGCCACCCGCACAAAATGGACCGTCTGGGCTTCGGGCTGGACGACGACGCCTCCTCCAAAGACGCCAAACAGACCAACAACCCGCAGGAAGCCCGTCTGCTCTCCATCCAGCGCTGCATCCAATCCCTGATGCACGCCAGCCAGTGCCGCGACGCCAACTGCCGGCTGTCCAGCTGTCAGAAGATGAAGCGCGTCCTCTCGCACACCAAGACCTGCAAGCGCAAATCCAACGGCCAATGCCCCATCTGCAAGCAGCTGATCGCGCTGTGCTGCTACCACGCCAAGCAGTGCAACGAGAGCAAGTGTCTCGTGCCCTTCTGCCCGCAGATCCGCGCCAAATGGAAACTGCAGCGCCAGCAGCAGGATATTCAGCGGCAGCAGTTTAATCGGCGCCGCGCGGCCATCATGCAGCGCATCATGCCGGGGACCATCGGGGCGACGCAGGGCGTGGCCAATGTCGTCAGTGTGCCCAGTCCGCAGCCGACGGTCAGTCTGGGGAAGGGTGGGCAGGGCCCGCCGATGGGGGGAGCGAGTAATGCGCTGCAGGAGACGCTGAAGAATGTACAAGCCCACGCTCAATTCCAGGTTAGTATATAATACCATAATAACATTTATTATTATTTTCCTTTATTAGTATTCGGAATTATTTGGAATTTTTGGGGTTATGTGAAACGAAAGCGATATGAAATAAAATTTGAAATTTTAAAAGTGCGTTTTTTAAAGCTTATTTGTCGAATATGTTTTCGTTATTACCAAAGAAATTAATTATGAATTATTAAAACTTAGCTGATAGACCGTTGTTTTCAGTTTAACTTATGTGAGTGTATTTTAAGTAAATGGATTTAATTAAACTCTTATCAGTTCCTCCTCCTAAAATTATTTTAAATGATAACAGAAAATTGAATGCTTCATGTCAAACCGTATCAGATACGGGAAGCCCGGTTGGATTTGAAATAATTTCATTTGAATTTGGGAATGAGAAGCGTTTGAAATTCTGTTTTCGTAAACGCAGATCTCTTTAGAAAATATTTTAGGTAAATTTGGAATTTTTTTACTTTTTGATCTGATTTCTTGAGATGGAAGTCATCCATCTGGGAATGGAACCCAGGACATTCAGACACTGTACCACCACGCTGAAGGCAGATGAAATAAAGTGTAACTCTTATTAGGTGTCGCAAGGAAAAGCGTTGGGCGGGAAGCCCACCATGGGCGGCAAACCGACGCGTCTGCCGCAGATGAGCCCCAACTGGACCCAGCAGCGCATGCCCGGTCCGCCGCCCAACGTCCAACTGCCCCCACAGGCCCCCGGGGGCGCCGTGCCCCCCGGCGGCGTGCCCCCGGGGCCGCGCATGGCCGGCGGCGGGGCGCAGTCGACGACGGCGTACCAGCAGCTGGTGGAGGCGCTGCAGTGCCCGCCCAGTCAGGAGCAGCAGCAGCGGGTGCGCAGTCTCATGCAGGGCAACCCCGAGCTCATCACCGGCTTCCTCAAGATGGCCCGCACGGAGAACCGCGGCGGCGAGGTGCGGCCCAACATGGCCGGGCTGCTGCAGCAGCAGATGCAGCAGCAGCAACAGCAAGCGCAGGGCGGCTACCGGCCGGTGATGCCGCAGCAGAGCCAGAGTATGCCCAATATGCAGCAACAACAACAGCAACCGCCCGGGATGCAGCAGCGGATGCAGATGTATGGACAGGGACAGCCGGGCCAGGGACAGTTCCCCGGGCAGATGCAGCAGCAACAGCAGCCGCCGCAGCCCCGCATGGCACAAACCTATCATCCCAACCAGAACGGTAAGTATTTCGCAGTTAATTCTGGAATTACTCTCGTGTGATGAAATTGTTGATTTATTTCTGATAATCACTGTATCACGATTAATCATTACTGGTACATTAGTAATACTAATAATTCATTTAAAATTTGTCTATTTATCTGTTTCGGTGGTTTGATAATCTATTTCGGTGGTTTCGGTGGTTTTTGTTTGATAATCAGAAAAAAAGGTCGGCAGTTTATGAAATTGCATTTAAAAAGTAAAGGTCATCTGCCGCTCGTTCTCTGCTGTGACTAACTTAGTTGCCTTTCAGTGAACTGATTTAATTTTAATATTGAATTCTTTACATTTCTTTCCGTTTGTTTGCCATTTTTTAGAAATTGTTTGGTTTTCAAAATTTAAATTTTTTCAAAGTTTTCAATTGCATTTACTGTATTATTTTGAAAAAGAACATTAAATCAGTGTGATTTTTGCGTGGTTTTTTACAGTGGACGTCCGTCATTTTGTAATACATGCGTTGATTATTTGTTGCAGTGAATTCTGGCATGAACTTCAATCCCTCCGCGGTGGGCGGCATGGTGGCGCCGCAGGGCGGCCCGATGATGCGGCAGCGCTTCGGCCCGTCGGGCGCGGCCCCTGGCGGCCCCCCGGGCGGCGGGGGCGGGCAGCCGCCCTTCGGCATGCAGTCCATGGGCCCGCCGGCCACCTCCTACGCCAACGCCCTCCCCAGCGGCCTCCAACAACAACAACAGCTGCAGCAGCAAGCCCCGCTCTCCCATCCCCCCGGCCCCGGTGAGTACGGGGGCGGCGGAGGGGGTGGACAGCGGGGCGGGCCCCCCGGCGGACCGATGGCCGGCGTCAGTATCCGATCTCCCGCGGCCGCCGCCGCCGCCGCGGCCAACGCCCCCGTGCGATCTCCCCAGGCCCCGTCGCCGCAGACGGCCGGCGGCCGGCCCCAATCCACGCCCCGCCCCTTATCGGCCTCCCCCTCGCCCCGCCCCCTGGCCGTCAACCTCCACCCGAGCGGCTACGAGATGGCCGGCGGCGACCTCCTGTACCAGCAGATGAACGGACAAGGCGGGGGCAGCGGTGGCGGGTTCCACGGGAATCAGGGCGGCGGGATGCCCCCCGGGGGCGGGGGCCCCGGGAATCAACATTTGGAGTTTTCCCACGCCGGACACCCCGGGCATCATCTGGGCGGGATGCCGGGCGGCTACCACCACCACCCCACGAATATCTCCCCGCAGGATCAGCTGAATAAATTCGTCGAGGGGCTCTGATGATGGGGCGCAGCGCGACGAGGAGATGTTGATTTTATTGGATGCCGTTTTCTCTCTTTTTTTTGTTTATTTTTGTTGGGGTTTTGGCGCGACAGGGGGCCGCCGCCCGCCGGGGGCGGCGTGGTTTCTTTTTGTACTGGAGCATTTATTCGTGGAGGGGGCGGCAGGTGGTGAGGCGAGCGTGGTGTGTGGGGGGGGAGCGGCAAAGTTTGTATTATACGGTTTCTGTTTGTCTCTCTCTTTCTGCGTGTCTCTCTCTGGACTGTGTCTCTATTTTGGCTCTTTCGCTCGTAAAATTGTACGTAGTTATATTATTTAAAAAAATGCGTTAATTTGGAATTTCCCTGTTTACCGAATGCTGCGCTTGGAGATTTGCTTTTAGCCTGCACGCGTCTGTTGATGAAAATTAATGCGACACGTTTAACGATTTGGCGGGAGATTCACGCTGTGCTCGATGTGTTGGGGGGACGGAAGAGTTTTTGGTTTTGCTGCTCTGGTTGTTTTTTTTTTACGGTTTTATTATTGATTTTGATTTGAATGGTCTATTATTGTACATTATAAAGTTCACCGAAAATTTCGTTATTCTCGCGTGTGCTCGCTCTCGGTAATGGAAATTCGTAGGTTTTAATAGAATTTACACGAAATCAACAATCAAATCGGTCCACTAAAATATAAAATCCGCTGTTATAAAACATAAATCAATAAAATACCTAATAAATTAAATTATTCCATAAAAAAATCCACTAATTTTCCAACGAGGCGTTCAACAAACTAAAGAAAAAATTTCCGAACACCTCCGTGAAATGTTCGTCCATGTAGGCATGTATTGATTTTATTCCTGATTTTTTTTTAATTCCTGGATTGATTTTTTCCTGGATTTATTTGCTCCAAAATCGGCCAAAATTCACTCGTACAACTTATTAATTTATTCACGTAAACTGAAATATCTTTATTAACAAATATATATTAAAGTCTATGTAGAAGATACCGTACTACTGTATAAAAATTCACCGGAAATTCGCAGAAAAACTTCACGGGAATATAATACACATTTTCCTGTTTAAGGCAGAACAGTTCCAGTTGAAAGCGACATCCATATACACTGCATAATATTCCTTTTCCATTTCGCCATAATTAATAGAAATTCTTTTTTGCCGGTCTCCAAGGCAGACTTCATTCGGTGCCGGCGGGGTGGAGCGTGCGCGGGAAGTCAAAGTCGAATTTGAGCAGATTCTCCAGCTCCAGCAGGCCCTCCTCGAAGTCCAGGGCGGACTGGCTGAAGGTGGCGCTGCCGGCGGTGTCCAGCTGCAGGTCGCCGCCCAGCAGGTCCCCGCCGGACGGGGGCGGTGGGCCGCCGTCACCGCCCGCGGCGGCCGGCTTGGAGCTCATGTCGACGAAGGGCGGCGAGACGGCGCCGCTGGCGCGCTGCGGATCCTCCGCGCCGCTGGCTGCTCACGCAAATAATAACGGTCAAGGATCAGCAAAACAGTGCAAGAAAAAAGCCTGTCTTTTATTTTATTTTTTATGCAAAAAAGCTTCAACATATTTTTTTCCTGTTAATTTTCTAATCGCATCGCGTCCTAGTGGGATGAACGTAGAGACCATACGCCCTTTGACTACGTTTTCGTTAGTAGAAGCGGTACAACAAATACTTTAGAAAAATACGAATAAATCCGCAGACGAATTTTATTTGATTATAATTATATTTTAATCAAATATCTCGAAGTAGCGGACAGGAATCAGCAACAATGCAAAACAAAACGCGGGGAAAATTAAATCAACTTACCAAAATCTACAATTAACAGAATGAATAAATAAATTCAAAGGACGCCGTAAGGAAATAAAATTAACTGATTTAATGAAAACCTAATTAAATAGCCATTAGAAGAAAAGAAGTATACTGTACTAAAACAACCGGTCAAAAAAGCGGAATAAATGAAATAGTCGCAAAAATTACAGCACAAGATTACAGGAAAAAACAGTTAAAGTCCTTTTCAACGGGAATCACATTAACCGCGTTCTGCTGCAATACGGCAATGAAGTTATGCAGAACAAGTTAAAAAAATTAGTGCTGATTCAATTTGGTTGATAACAGAAGGAATTACAGAGATACAATTGAAAGCCCAGACTTAATTTACCATGGCTGGGTATAAGCAATGCCCATTGACTACATTTCCATCGGTTGCAGTGAAATAACAATCTGCCGGTAAGAATCATGAAATAAAAGTTTTTATTTTCCAGATTTTTCGATGAGCCATCTAGCTACGTGTTCTGATTCTACAAATCAAATTAAATTAAGTTAACTTAAATTATTAAATTAAATTAACTGAAGTATACATGCTGCGTGCACGTACCGTTATGCAGCGTCCTGGGTGAGTGACCGCCTCCGGAGCGCGGTGTGGCGCGGCCGTTGTAATCCAGAGACGACAGATTGGGCGCGGAGACGGTGTGGTTCAGCATGGTCGGGCTGCCGTGGCCCGCGGCGTCCTTCTTCAAGCCGGCGTGGAACTGCGGATCATTCTGCAGGCGCATCTGCACCTCCTCCATGCGGGCGCGCTGCACGTGCGTCTGCTCCTTGTGCGACATCAGCCGCGCCTGATCACACCAAAAAAGCCACTGAATCACTCTGTCAAAAAATTTCTCACATATTCTTTTACTATTTATTTGCAAAGAAAGTATTTTTGAAGTACTCGTAGCATCTGCAGTGTCACAACGTTTCGCTATAACGTTTCCACTACTGCCCATAGACTACGTTTGCATCCCATGAAATGAAAGTGAATGATACATTCGGATTCATCAGCCGCATCTGCACAGCAGCGCCGGCATAATTTGTGGATGATTAATTACGGGAATTTTTATTAATTCATTTTGTAATTATCCGACTTCCTTATGGATTTCTTTATTAAGAATAAATCAGGATATTGATTTGTTTTGTTAATTAATCATCCAAAGTTTTAATTTCATTTACCGTTTATCAGAAAGGGAATTTTCGCTGTGTGTACCTGTAACTGCATGACTTTATGTAGTGGGCGTTGCAGCGGTAAGGGCACGGGCAGCGGCGACTGCGGGCAGGCGGAGATGCTGGCGGCGCCCTCGTTGACCAGCGCCATTAAGCGCATCTGCAGCTGCTGGAGGTGCTGCTGCTGCGAGGCGATGCTGCGCTCCAGGAAGCGGTGCTTGTCGCGTAACTGTTCGTGGAAGACACTGCGCACCATGCCCCGCTCCTCCGCGCGCTCCTCTCCACCATTCTACCCAGATCAACACATTCACACACTTCTAACGTAAACATAATGCTAATTAAAATAACTTAATTAGAATAATAATAAATTGTTAATTAAGTATAAGTAGATGAATTTCGTTCTTAGCATCACGATGTGGAATTAACCTGGTTGGGACGCGGCGTGCCGGCACCGCTGCCCTCCTTCTGGCCCTCATAGACGACATCCGTTCCGTGACCTTTCTCCGTCTGCAGCGGCACACTGCCGCGCTTCTCTTCATTCCCTGCTCCCATCGCAAATTCTGTTCGAAAAAGCTTGACAATCTTCACAAAAAAAATGAAAAGCATGCGCTACCGGTTTCTAAATTGAAATCCAACTTCAGCATTATTTTAATTTAATCGAGCTTCGTCTTATGTAATTTTTAAAAAATATAATAGGTGAAGCTACCTAAGTATTGTACTTATTTTTCGTAATCTCTGGATTTATGAATTTGTTAATTTCAGACTGCTAAACCATCATTTAACAGATTCCAATCCAATTTTAAATCGAAATAAATATCATTTAATTTGAAAATATGCAGTACTGTATAATGAAGTTCTTCCGCGCGTACCTTGTCCTTGAGGTGACGTCACCGGCCCCCCTTCCCCGCTCTCCACCCCCTGGGGCGACGTTCCCGAGACATTGGTCTGGCAGCTCCGTGGCGACACATTGACCCCGCCCGCCGAGCCCCCCTGCCCATCCATCTCCGACAATTTCGACGGACTGCACTGGCTGTCAATCACGTCCACGCCCACCTCGATCTCGCGGGGCGTGGCCGTCCAGGGGGAACTGCGCGGCCGGCTGCTGTCGGGGCTGTGCTGCAGCGGGGATCCGCCCCGGACCCCCTCCAAGGTGGACTTGGGCGGGGCGCGCTGCTGGCGGGCGAAGGCGGCCTCCCCCTCGGCGGGGCGCAGGGGGGCCGCCAGGGTGACCACCTCGTCCAGCCGGTTGCTGGCGGGGTTCAGGGCCAGGTAGGCGCGGCAGTTGAGGTAGGTGAAGGCCGGGGCGGCGTCCGGCGGGGTGGTGGCGTCGGGAGGCGGGGGCGCGGCGGCGTCCGGGTGCCGGAAGCGGCAGATGACGGCGATGGATTCGCTCTTGTGGGAAGACACTGCAAGAATAGTGTGCATGTTGTTAAAACACATCAGAGAAAAATGCGACAGAAATAATAACTTAAAGTAAGATTTACAACAGCGCTATTTTCCAACCGAACGTTTTAATTTTCACAACATTTTTTTAATTTACTAACAGCTTATTAATCTATTTTTTTTATTTTCATAACAAAAACAGCTTCCGCATCGTGACTGCGGATCTTGTAGCGCATCGTAGTGTAACGGAACCGGGCGCCGAACGAACGGGCCAGAAATTTCGTCGATACCGTTATAAAATAAAATGTTTCAACTTTTCCAATAAGCTACTATTTCCTACAATTTTATCTCTGCATAAACTGGCAAATTGTTTTGCCAGCGGAAAGCGGAAATTGTTTAAGCGGATTTTTATTATCCCTTTATTTAGCGATTTCCCTATGCGCACACCGGGCTAATCTGCTCAGCGCCGGCATCTCTCGTTATTCATGCGAAAAAACCTGGATGTATGGTACGCAAAAGAATCCTGCACACTGATTTCATTTTGGTTCTTTTCCTTAATTAAAAAAGATTCTGATAAACTGAAAACAGTAAACGCAGCCTAATCAATTTTCCTTACAGCCTGGCAGATGTACGCACTACACAATAACGTCCTGTGAAAGCCACTTGACTACGAATATCTACACTTCACAATCCCAAGTCTCTACACAACACAAACAGCGCCCAGTACCTACATTGATCATACTGGTATCGCAGGAGCGGGATATCCTCGCTGGGCAGATGATCGTACAGGCAGGAGCCGACGAGTTGGTCCGGTGCGTGCCCGATAAACTGCCGGCATCTATGGGGAAAATTCGTGTTAAAACTAGAAAGATATTCTGTGCTTATCAGAAACTGATGCGATTCATACCGTTCGTCGGCGGACGTGATGTACCCGTTGGTATCATGCCGGATGACGAAGTGCATGGCCGATGCGCTGCTGACCGTTTCCGCTGCCGGCTGACCGTGCCCGTTGGACAGCGGCACCACCGGACGCGCCACCGCCACCCAGACGATGTTCTGCCGCGCTGCACAAGATAAACTATACTGGTTTATGAAACAAATGCTACACGGTAATTAAGAAATCGTCATACTTTTTGCAATAAAAAATTTCGTAAACTAAACGAATATTCATGACAAGATCAGTGCTTAAAGCTAGGCGCCTGCACACCGTACCTTACGCCAGAAGCCATTTAACTACCAAATCCGCAGTGAACTACGTACTGCCTGATTAAACATCGGCACAGTACAATAAATAAAATTACATCAAAACATTAATAGGTCCGCTATTCGAAACTCAGCCTATACCTCATCTTTTGTGCTTATCAATAAAAGAAAAAATTAATGAGATACCACGCTGCACAAGACAAATTCTACTTGCTTTTTATGAAACAGAAAATACTACGAGTACAGCAGACACTGACTGGTCCTCCAACAAAAAGTAAAACCTGTATTTTTCAAATTTTTTTTAAAGGTTTTTAGAATTTCACAAGTACAGTTTTGGCTAAAAGACATCAGCCAGTTAACTACGAAAATCATCCAAATCTATGCGCGGCATGATACGGTAAAACTGATAAGAAAAAGTTCAAAAGCGTTATAGACGCCATTCTAAACTCAAAAGAATCCAAAACAGTTGTTTGTTTTTATAGTGTAAATAAAATGCTAATCCTACACTATGCCATGCAGTTGATGTAGCTATAGGAAAATCCAGAAAAGAATAGGAAGTATAAAAAACCATCATCATTTTCCAAACATTAGACAGGAAAAAATTTAAGGATAACCGATGTATTGTATCATGTATGTACAAATATCAGCGCTGAATAAATAGGAAATTTGACGTACCACCGGGCTGGTTGGGATCTTTGTCGGTTTTCAGGGGCCGGACGATGCCGGAGAAGTGGAAGTGGCGGTAGGTGTGCGGAATGGTAGGATGCCCGTTGGACAACCGGTGCGGCATGTCGGCGGGGGCGCTGATACTGCGGTTGATCGTCGGCGTGCAGGAACGCCGGCCGGTGAGGTGCGGCGACGAACTGGCCATGCTGGGCGCCCGGTTGAGGCCCTGCAGGAGCCGGACACTCAGGGAGGTGCACTGGGAGCGGCTGGAGGCCGGCGGCGAGGGCTGGCTGACGGGAGATCGCAGGTCACGCCGCGTGCCACCTGCAAATTAACAACCATCCAGTATATTGGTTTTTTCAATCTTTGCACGCTGAATATTATGGAGTTTTCAGATAATTTATTTTAATGGGATGCTCATTGAATTTTGAGCATTGGTCTACCGGCTTAAGTGACCGAGCTAATCACATGCACCGCATAATCTTTTCGACTTAATTTAACTTTTCCACGGTATAAGAACGATATAATGGAACCTCGATCACGAATCTGGAGTGCAGTTAATTCTGTCCGTAAAAAAAGATTGGGCGTAATTAAAGTGCACATTTTGATAGTCAGGTTTGAATTTTTTTGCTTTTGTGGTATCAAAATAATTCCTTGGACCGATGAATGGCTATACCCATATGCCAGCGCACTACGACAGTCTAATCAACTGCATAACAATCAACTTTCACTACACTGGTGTGAAATCCATTTGGATTACTTTACATATTAATATCATATGTTTAGTCCCGCTCCTTAAAGCCATTTCGGCAACAAACAAATTTATCTTGTTCCAGATAGAGAAGTTAGTTACTGATCGACCACAATACAAAAACCTTTATCCGGTTTTTGAACATCCTGGATCAAGAGGAAAACTACAGATTTCCAGTTTTCCTCATAAGAGGCTGCACAGAATCTGACTTGGTTCTAATAAGTAGCCATCAATGGTTAGCAATGCATTAGTGTTTTTCTTGAATCATAATTTTATATCATATCAGTATGTATCGATGAATATATTTTAATAAATATAATGTACATCAATGTAGATAAATTATGTAGGTGTAGATAATGTAAATAAATTAAAATAAATGTATATTTGAATAAGTATAAATGTCGATATACTTTAAATGTTCGGCTGGGCATGTTGTCGGGTTGTCGTTACACGCTATATTACAAAACAAAGTGTAGTACGATGGCTAAGTCCTGCCCGGATTCGTGGTCATACACAAGTCAATTCAAGCATAAATCTAAACTGACTATGTTACTTTAAGATTCGTGTTGAAGAATAATTTTTCTCACTGCCGAAAATGTTTCTGCGACTTTGCCTTACCCTGGGCATCGGTGGCGGAGGGGTCGGTGAGATCGTGAGCGTTGACGGTGGAGGAGGAGGGCGCGTTGCCGGCAGGGGAGGAGGCGGACGCGGCGTTGCTGGCGGCGGGACTGCCGGCACTGGCACTGCTGACGGAGTGCTGCGCCTGTGCGCATTTGGCCACGGCCTCTTTAAAGTGCGTCCGCGAGTGCACTTGATCGTCCGGATGGACGAGCGCGAACCACGAATACCCGCTCAACTCCAACTGCAATGCATCCTCGCTTTCACATGTATGGTACAGTACACGATACAAAAACAGAACGTGCGCACGGCTATCCTCTTCTGATTCCTGTTTGCCGGGTTTTAAACGTATTTTTAATTGCCAACAACGCTTCTCGAAAAATGTAGTAAATTAAAAAAGCCAAAGATGGAACAAAATTGTTAATCAGTTGGGGATTTGGGCGAAAAAGCGGAAGATAAGTTCTTGACCAAACCGGTAAAACAAATCGGTATCGGTACACATCAAAACTAAATCCAAATATCACAATAAAGAAATAATCGTGCTATAAAATAAAAAATAATCATTATACCAAAATCGGCACAAAAATTTCAGGACGCACCAATCGCTGCATTTTTAAAATTTACCACCCCGTTCCGTATTTACTTCAGAGTCAAATGACAGCCATTTTAAAGATATCGTTCCTCGTATAAAAGACCTAGAGAATTTTTTTAAAAAATTCTAGTATTTCGTAATTTCGTATGTACAGAATTTAAGTAGGTGCAGTCGAGAGGATAACTCGCAGATCTGACTGATGAGTGATGACACCCTTTACACTACATTCTTCGCGACATTATCCACGTACGTAGCTGAAGCCCAAATGCGTAACGACGGATTCGGAGACGTAAATGATTTTTCCACACTCATCGATTATCAATAAAAATCCATCCACCTGGAAAAAATTAATATTGACATTTTTCTGAACGGTTGGTTTTCGTCAGAAACAGAAGATCAGTACGAATACAACAGAAAATAAACGGGTTCGGCAATATCGGCATTTTTTTAAAAACCTGTGTTATGTTAAATCTGTCGCCGTTCTTGCCATTTTTTGTGCAAATTAATTCCACAGAAATACAACAGCATTAAATAAAATTAATATTAATCTTTCAGTTCTCAAACTTTCAGTCTTTTTCTAGAAAATTTACAAGAAATATCAGCTTGTAAGTACGACATGCTTTTCGAAGTTATGCGGCCAATTTTGAAAACGTTAAAATTTGCCAAATACAAACGGTGTGCAAAAGAACACACTTTAGGCAAATTAAACAGCGTCTCACTTTATACTGGCTGGAAAGAACAAAGTGAACAAACGGAGCAGACGTTTACCTTACTGGTCGATTGACCTCCTTCATCCATACCGCTGTGTGCCGACAGTGAATTCACATAACCTAGAAAACACACCAACGTGCAGCCGCGTTGAAGAGACTTCTCACTTTTAATCGCTAATTTGCACACCCGCGTCGCCATCGATTTATCGGAGTCAAGATTCAGTGCCGGCTTCAGATAATTATAACTCAAAAAAATAAATAGACACATAATACATTAAATTCCACTTAATAACAGCAATCAGATCGGAGATATCATAGCATAGTTTTTTTAAAGAATGCAGATTATTTTTATTTAAAATAGTCTTCCTCCATCTCGAAAAATTACAAAAAAATTCCGAATTAACCAATTTTTATACATCCGACAGCTGAGCAGTTCATATTTTCGGGGTTTAACTTTTAACACGTTAAAATAATTTAAATTATTGTGGATTTACAGTTTTTGTCATTTTACAAGCAGACTAAAATACAACAATTTGTTATTATTTTATTAATTCAACTTAATCGCCGCTGAAACAAGTCTTTTTAAACCCAAAACAAATTAAAAATTTACAGAAATATACATTCTGAAAATTGATGTTCATGTTACTCGTAATTAATTTTAGCCCATTTTATAAAATAACAATTTTTACTGATTTAAAATCTTCGCGTACCAGCTAAAGCGACGGAACCGCATTTATTAGCATGATGTACGTTATATCACTTATATGTACTATGTACGCGCTACACAACCTCAAAAAAATACTTCAATCTGAGAAAATATTTCTTAGCTGAATTAATTAAATATCTCAAGCAGCGCAACACCGTAAAAATTTCGTAACCGATTTTCTCAGTAAATCAGCCGATATTTATCGCGGGAATTTTCATTGTTAATTACCACTTAAATGAACACCAATTTTTTCACGGCTGCCTGCGTAACCGATTAGCCATATCCAGTGTGATGCAAGCGCAAAAAATATTCCAACGGAAAAACAAGCGACAAAGATCGGTTGTTTTTCTTAATTTACTCATTTTACTGCCGCCTGTAACGTTGTGCAGCGATTAGCCAGCCAGCGCTACCCATACACCCGCATTCTGCTGCACACTCTCCGCCGTTCAGATCAGGTAACAAGTCAACGGACCTTGCGGTCGCTATCGCGTCCGCGCCACGAACAACTTTCACTCGTCACACACAAACAACCCACGCACTTACCTCCCAAATTATCTACTCCACAAGATTATTCCACATGCAGAAGATGTGCAAGCGAATTCCAGCGAAGAAGTCGCAAAGAATGCAGCAACGTTAAAATGACGCGTAATCCACACTGAACCGCCCACTTCCCAGTTCACTGTTGATAAATTACACGCAGGCACTACAGGGAACTGTCCAGCTGATCCCGGTGTATTTTAAAAAAGTTAATCCAATCAATTCGATAGCGGTTGACAATTCGATTTTTGCAGAATTGGCGGAAGATGCTGATGCAAAAACGTCAGAACGTTTGACGAAAGGCAGGTCGGTGAGAAAAAAACAGCAGCTTGGATAAAAGCGAGAAAACCATAACATCGCGTGGTCGAGAACGGCGAGAGACATGCCGAGAACAAGTTGGAACAAGTTGCCCATACACAACTCACACATCACACACACATACTAGTACACATGCACAACTATTGACTTGAAACTGGGTCAACGAGCTTAGACCCGGCTGCATTGTGGTTAGCGGGCGGGCGGGGCCGGCTGCGCTGATTGGCCCGTGACGCATTCCTCCACCGATCAAGTAACTGCTGCGCAGTGCGGCTCTACACTGCCCCCCGTTACACAGCCAGTGAACGACTCGACAACGCCAACGAACAAGAGCGTCTCGAATAAATTACTTACTTTTCGCGCCAATCAGGCTGATTCAGCCGAAAATGGTTCTTTGAGAGAAGTCACTGGCTGGCACGGAATGAGAGGAAAGTGCGGTGCGTACCTGTTGGCTGGCGGATGTGGCAGTGTGTCCGTGACGAAAGGTCGCTGCTGTACAAATCAGCGAAAATAATATCAGTTAATTCCCGATTATGTGGATAGTCCGGTCAGTGTGACCTTGACGTCGGCAGAAATCCGCGCTGCATCCGCTCTTCACTTCCGCCACCATTCAGGCCGGGGGATCATCTCCCATTTCCCATTGATTTTTTCTTTTACATGAAATCGATTACGAGTTTGTATGAAATTTGCCTGCGGAGATGAGGATATCATGGAAAACTTAAACGACGCTCAAATGCCAGGCACTCTTAAAGTCTCTTACTGACGCAATATATACGCGTATAAAGACGTATAGAATGAGCGTGATTATTCGGGTGATTACCGATTTTAATTCCGTAATACAGCCGTGTACGTCATTTAATTTCCTGATTTTCCTGGGAATTCAAGGAAATATAATTAGGTTAACCTGGCAAGGTTAATGCGACTTTGCGTGATTATTTGAAGGAGGAAAATTTTCGGGGCAAAGCTCAGCAAACCAATATCTCGAACGTTTATTGTAGCCTGTAGGTCATACCAATTTTTATTTAAAAAGCTAATAATCTGTAGTTTGAGGATATTCTAACAATTTATAAGAAAACTTTACGATAACAATTTCCCATAGGCCATAGCTTGTAGAATGTAGACCATACTTTTAAATTAAATTTATTTTTTATTTCAATTTAAAAAGAATATTTTAATGTCCGTGCGCTGCTTCGAAATTAACTTCCTGTCTGTAAGTGTTAGCACGATTTGTTGCAATTTTTCAATATCGATAAAAATTGTGCTTAATAATCTACGGGTAAGAATTACGGCAGAAATAATAAATCCAAAATTATTCGATTTTGTCGTTCAGTTTCGTAGGAATTTATTTGAAACGAATACTCGTTTTAATGAATGGAATTTGCGGCGAAGCAGATGACAACACGAACTTCATTCTAAATCTCTGATCTCATTACGAACACGTATCAAACGCACCGGCGTAATTCTCCTGCAAATTCTGAATGAAGAGCGTAGTCTGCATCCCGCGAAATCGATTTCTTTGTGACCGTGAAGTTTGAACAGCGGCACACACAGCGGCAGCGGCTTTACCGTCGCTGCCTGCCTGCCAAGCACGTGACTTCCGTTTCTTTCCGATTCCAGCTGAACAGACCACGCCTTTTACTGCACTAGCCAAGAAATGGAATTGTCGTCCCACTTCCAATTTCATTGGTAGTGCGCCGTGCTGTCCAGCGCGGTGGAAGAAAATCAGCCAAATCACAATCTGCACGCAAAAATTCGTAATATTATAATTACAAATTTTTTAAATTTATATTTTCATGTCAAAATGTCATCAATAATTTCTAAGCGGATTGTGCAAATGATTTGGCGAGAATCGCTAAATGGAAGCGGGCGCCATTGGCACTGGTAGACAGCGGAATGGAATGCAGTGTGATATCACATTCTGACCATAATTTTCCACTCAGTGCGTCTCGCGTATCGTATCGTACGCAACATGATAAGCTGTGCAGCAGCGCACAAGGTCAAAAGTTGCTCCAGAATCATTTCCAGCGTACACACACAGTCGATAAAAGTGTGGTGAAAACCCCTGGCCTGTGTTTAGAAATCGGATTGCACCAGTCACCATAACGTTGCTTGTCAACACAGCATTGTTCTGGCATTATTTTGTCCTAATATTGATGTTGCACGCTGAAGCATAGAGCCGTCTATGCCTGATGATTCCAATGCCAATGTCAAGTGTGAATTCTTGGCTGCTGTTCCCTGCACCCTGGCTCCTCTGACCTCCAATCCGTCTTGTGCGGATGCTGCACAACCTCCCTGGCCCTAATTGGACGGAGGCGGTGGGAGAGTGCGTGGGGGATTGAGGGCAGGATCAGCTGGATGGAGGGGATGTGGATGGGGATGGGGAATGTGCGATTCTTCTGCGAGGGTTCCTCGATGTGCCTTTGATCATGCTGGATTATTTGGCTGCGTATGCAACCATCCAGTGGGCATTTGTTTCGGGATTTTTTCTTCATCATGTGATTAACCGTTGTTGAATGGTGAGTGGGGAGAATTTGCAGTCTTCGTTTTCGTTGTTTAAAAAAATTAATAAAAGGTAAAACACAACGTGAAGGTAAATAAAAATAAAATTATGGAAATATCAAATATGATATAAATATTGAAGCTAAATTTTTGTGAAGTTTGAGCTCTGATTATCGCAGCCCTCGTTTTCGTAGATTAGAGATATTACTGGAAAATGTAGAAATAAAGGCGTAAAAGAATTATGAAAATGCAGAATTTAATGTATAACTTTGTAAATTCATAGCTTTAAAAATTTTTATAAATTTGAATACACACGTGACACACTGCAGAAGAAAGCTTTTTGGATTGTTTGGCTATAATTTGCAGTGTGGGGATAGTCGTTTTATTAATTATCTTTATTCTGAAGGGTCTTTGCGGGAGATTTGCATCCCACAATATTACAATAAGGGCTGCAAAAATGATAATCATATATTAATAAAATATTCTATCGAATTCCTTTCTTTCCTGGCCTTGTTGGATAGCTGCTAGTAGTCAGCGCATTTTTTGTTGTAAGTAACTTGTGATGGAAATTGTTATTGGTGCCCAATTCATCATCATTTTTGAGTAATTTTGACTGTCAAGATTTCCAGAATGCGCGATATTGGCTTCCAGGGTGAAACGGAAGCAAGGGTTTTTATCGCTTTTTCGCTACCGGCAATTTCTGTACAAACAGAGACAGTTTAATTGAAGTTTAAAAAACCCAACGAAGAATCATGAGGGTTTATTGCCGTTTTTATTGATCTAACGATTAAAATACATACCTCTTTACAATCCACATTTTTTATTTGCCGTTTTTGGTAATTTTATAAATAATAAAAATTAATTTCTGTTGTTTGTCGGGGTTTTTTTGCCGAGTGTCGCCTGCTCAGACTAATTAGTGTTTAATTTGGACAACTTCGCCGTTCCGTGCACGGTCCGGTAGCGTTTAACGTTGGCGCTGTACGTGCACGGAGACCTGGCTGCAGGCGGAAAGGGTCCCATTGTTCGAGTGCAGAGAGAGCTCATTCAGAAACGCATTTACACGGCCCGCGGGCGCCCAAGTGTCGGTAAACAAAAATAACCAGTGTTGCCCAAGATCAGGCCACGCTCAGACGCGCTAACGAGTGTCAACGTGGAGACTTGGAAATTTTTTTGCGGAATTTTTAATTGAACACGAGAGTGTTTAATTTTGGTCCGACGATGAGCAGAAATTATTATTTTTAATTTTTTTAAATGTTTATCTCTTTTTTTATCAGCTTTCGATTTTTTCTCGCGATTTTTCATACGCATCATACTGTACTGTAACTGCAAATGCCTGTTTTGGATCCTTTTTTGCGTACGAATAAATTGGCTGCAGAAGCTTGTATTTTTATTTGACAATAGTGAATTTATTTTTTAATTATTTTAAATTTTTTATGCTATGTTGGAAGATAGATAATTAGCGAATAGTGATGCTTCTCGTAGTGCGTCGGCCTTTCAAGCGGCACGTTATTTTTTCGCCGGCTTTCCGGAGAAAAATTGCCGCGTAATAGGAAATTCAGCCGGTCGAGAGCGGTTTTAAAGTAAACAGTGGATTTTATGCGTTGATTTCCTTGTTTAGAACAGCGTTGTTAGTTTGTTTAGTCGGAACGGCGTGAGCAATAATAATTGTGTAAAGTGCTGAGGCTGGCCGAATGTCCGAACGATTAGTAATAGCACGGGCGGCTTCCCAGGCGGCCAGGCCACAGAGAAAACGCTGACTGGTTGGTGGTTTTACCTGAGTTTTTTTGCGGAAAATGATCGATAAAGCGAAAATTAACGGAGAATGCTTTAACCTGTGAATGATGGCCGCGGAATGTGGTTGCGCAATTTTTAAAATGCTGAACTGTGCTGGTTTCTCATTTTTGGGGAATACGTTGGAAGATAGTTAGTTCTGTTTTCGGCTTACGTACATGAAAAACTGAATATCAAAAATGACGGGAAAAAAGTCAAAAAACCCAGTTTTAGCTTACAATTAGTACTGTCAGGGGGTGCGTGTAAAATTGTGAATGTAGCGTAGTGCAGTGGCTAATAGCAGGACTGCTGTAAATTGGCGCATGCTTTAATTGGCACGCTGTCTTACGTCTTTCATGTGGTAAAATTTGAAATGAATTTTTGTATCATGGTTATTACAAGCATTTTTAATTTTGTGTACTGTAAAATAGAAAAAAATTTTATGTTTTTCGAGATTTTTTATACAAGTACGATAAAGTTTAATTTTTTATAAAATTATAAAATATGGATTTTGCTTGATAACTGCTAGTATTAAAATGGAGAAGGAAAATGCATTAATAATTTCTTAAAGGCAAAACGGATAGGTAAAATGTGAAAAAAACAAAATGAACAAAATGTGAGATGAACAAGAATATGTTCTCGTACCTATTTGAATTTGTTATTTGATTTCGGCTGCGTGATTAGGCAGTACATACTTTGCGAATAAAACTCGGAAGGGAATAAAAGAGATCTGACGATGGACTAATTCTTTTTAAAGCGAATTAGACATGCGATGATAGAGTGGCTGATTAGGGTGACGCTGGCCGGGGCCCCTTGCGCGTGTGTGTATCCATTTCGGTGTGCACCGTCTAAACGGATCTGGCAAGCTGGTGTCAATGGGGTCAAACGTAATTAGCGGGGAGGCGTTGCTGAAAGGGCAGAGCGTATTGGAAATATTATGGCACATCCGGTAAACACTTGTCACCGCGTCCCCTCTCATCGTGATGTAATAGCGGAGTTTTCCTTACCGTGCCGCGATTAGGCTGGCTAAACGAGGGGAGCGTCGTCGCTGGCCGGCCTGATTAATGGGACCGGCCTCGGAGACGCTGTGGTTGTGGAAATAGACGGAATTGTTCTATTATTTTACGGGATTTCCCTGCAATTAGACAATTATATCGTTGGATGTGGCTGCCTGATTGTGAGCGTTACGGCAGCGTTTGGGCGTGTGCATCGGTGATATATTGGCGAGTAAACAGTTGAATAATATCTGAATGCATTGACGTGGAAGGGGTTTAAAAATTTAAAACGGGAGTGGAGTTTCATTTGCAAATTTCGCGTCTTTGGTTTTGAAAATTGATTTTTACCTCATTTTTACGTCATTGAAATGGTAAGCCTGCTCCGCTGTATCTTTGAAAATTCACTGAAAATTATTTGTTGCGCGAAATGGCGATAAATTAATTTAGATTAAAAATTGATTTTTACAGGGAAGATTTTCTCGTTGCAGATTTTGTTTTGGGATTGATTTTTTGATTGATTCGCAACGCGATTTATCTTGCCTTATATATTATTATTAAAATGGACGACTTGGACATCGACAACCAGGACGCCGATCTCCTCTCGTCCCTGACCACGCCCAGCTCCAGCGACAGCCTGTCGCCGTTCGCCCGTCTGCGCGCCAACACCTGGCCGTTGAACCGTTTCGAGGATGCCGCCGCCGCCGGCAAACCGGACGACGAGGCGGACGCGGCGGAGTTGGATGCGCATCTGCATCTGCGCAGCAGCGCCGACGGCACGCGCAGCACCGGCAGTGATAAGGCGCCCGCTCCGGACACTGCCGCGGTGGGCGCCGGGACGCCGCCGGGGGGCGGCGGGGGCGCGGTGAAGAAGACCTCGGCGCGACGTAACGCCTGGGGGAATAATTCGTACGCGGACCTGATCCAGCAGGCCATCAACAGTTCGCCGGAGAAACGGCTGACACTGGCGCAGATCTACGAGTGGTTCGTGCAGCATGTGCCCTACTTCAAGGATAAAGGGGATAATAACAGTTCCGCCGGATGGAAGGTAAGTTGGTCCATGGTTCTGATTTTTTTGGTAATTTTCCGGCATTTTTTTGCATTTCAATTTTCCTTTGTCATGCATAGTTTCTTTCGTACGGTTGTTAAGCTTGCTCCTTTTGTCTGAATTTTTAATCTATGTTTAGAGATGTTGATTATTAACGATAAAAATTTCCGGCAGTGCTTTTGCATTTTACTTTTTAGTACAGAACACAGAATTATCAAGAGTATCTGTATTTTTGCATTCTTCTTAAACATTGTGAATCTGCTGTAGTAAAGTGGCTGCTAGCCGGGTTTAAATCGTCTCTGCAGCATCTTTCGTGTGGTTTAAGTGATTGTTGTATAATCCTTTTTCCTAAACTCATTAAGTATGCTTTGCTATCGTTTTTCCTTTAATCTTTTTATCGTTTTCAGTAGGAGATGAAATGTTTATTAATTATTAGCATTATTCAATTAATATTCACTGTACGGATTCTGTGCCAGCATGTTCAAGTTGTATATCCACCCGTTATTCGCTGCAGTATCGGTATTCGGTACATTGCGAATCTACCGTAGTGTAGTGGTTGAACGTCGTGATGTCAAACTTCACTGCGCCGTTACATTCAACATGACGTCTTTCGTGCGGCCCAGGAAATTAGTAGTTAATCATTCGGGTTATTTTTGGTATTTTTAAACTGATTATGCTGTGGGTTGCAAAATATATTCTGCAAATTTGTGTTAATTTTGATTAAAATTTTACATTAAGTCAGTCCTGCGTTTATTATAAATTTAGAATTATGCAGTTATATCAGTTTGAATATTGCCGTGGAAAACGCTGAACAATTTCATTATTATTAAGAAAACTTGTTTTTGTAATTCCGGCATTCTAAGGTTATGCTCTCACGTGTGTGTAGAACTCCGTCCGCCACAATCTGTCGCTGCACAACCGGTTTGTGCGGGTGCAGAACGAGGGCACCGGGAAGAGCTCCTGGTGGATGATCAACATGGACGCCAAGCCGGGGAAGGCGACGCGCCGCCGCGCGGCCAGCATGGAGACGAAGCAGTACGAGAAGCGGCGCGGCCGCGTCAAGAAGTCGCTGGAGGAGAAGCGCATGCTGGCCGACGGGGCCTCCTTGGGCGGGTCCATGGGGTTGATGCGCAGTCCCTCGTCGCCCATCAGCGAGAGCACCGAGTGCCTCTACGCGCAACAGGCCCAGGACGCGGGGCATACCCTGGCCCCCTCCCCCATGCACACCCTCCATGCCTTACCCGAAGGTGCGTACCGAGCAGTGTCGCCCGTGGTGACGAAGGAACACTACCAAATTTGGCTGATTTTTTAGAGAGAAATTAAACAAGTTAAAAAGTTTTAGGTTTAATTATAAATATATAAGAGAACGTTTTTAGATTGTAAATCTGAATGCTCTTAGTTGTTGTTCTTAGTTGTTGTTCTTAGTGTCAGATCTTTAGTTTTATTTTTTAGTTGTATGTTGTTTAATTTTATTTAAAAAATGAATTCCGTTATGATGATGAATTATGGAGGACGTTTCGACTATCAGGATCACAGTAAAGAGTGTGCACATGAACATTTTGTAGTGCAGTGGCAAATGAGCACGGAAATTGGGTTAACCGAAAATTAATTGTCAAATTAAAATGAAAAACGATTGAATCTAAATTTAATTGTTTTATTCTAAAATTGTGAATTTTTCTTCTTTATGGACAGCCGCCGTTCAGCCTCGAGATCCCACCTAATAAAGTTTGCGCAGATTATGAAGATTTTGTAGTGCATTGTCAAATGTCTGCGAAAATTGCTTATATAAAATTTTTATATGAAATCATATTGAAAAAAAAAATAAATGCCAAATTAATTTTTTGTCGTTATTATTAAGCTCTGGTTTTCACCATTAATTTTAACAATTTTACTGCAGCCTCACGTGACCGTGTTTTGTGCCACTGCACTACATATCCTACAATGAACTATATTTGGATTTTTGTGACGGCTTGTATAGTCCGCACGGCGCACTGTATACGCATTTTTTTAGAATGAAGATATATAAAAAGCAAAACCAAGATTTCATGCATTTCTTAACAGAATTATTAACCTTAACTGTAACAAGCAGCGGAAGTAGCCTCTTATAGTTAAGCTACGGTTTGAAAAATGTGGAAAATCTTAAAATCGGTTTTGACTGCCCTGGTTGCTAAAGAGTGTAGTTGTAGTCAACACTATCAGTTGAGTAGGCGTTTTTCCTATTAATTCCGATTTTTTTGTGAGTGCCGCTGCAAGTTAGAACGTGTGGTAAGAGTTTTGTGAAGCTGTTGAATTAAATCCCTGCTTTTCCCAGGGTTCCGTTCGCGTACCGGCTCGAACGCCAGCAGTTTCGGGCGCATCTCGCCCTTCGACGAGCACAACAACCACACGCCAACCTACTCCCCGCACCCGTGGCTGGCCGATTATGAACATCCCCGGCTGCCGACGGATCCGAAATCCGGGGAGCTGGCGGAACTGGACAATCTGGCCAACTCGCTGCGTCTGCAGGACCAGAGCTACGGCGGCTCCCCGCAGCTCTCCCGCTCGGCCTCCGGGTCCGGCGCGGCGCTGACCTCGCGCGGGTTAAACACCTACTATTCCTCGTGGAACAGCAATAACATGCCGGAGGGGAAACCCAATGGGGCGGACGGGAAGCAGCCCGTCAACGCCAACGGATATGCCATGTCGGCCATCCATACCGGGATCTTCTCAGGTGGGTGGGCGTTTGGGCGCGGGATTTCTTAGCGGATATTTGTAAATCAGTGTGAAATTAATGTAGGATATTATTGTAGAAGTACAGAGTATACAAGAATATTAGAGTTAAATGCTGTACGTGAATATTCGAATTACAGGAAAATTTTATATGGAATAAAATAGTAAGAAAATTTTCTAATAACTGACAGGAGATTTGAAATCTGGGGAATTATTTTTGGAATTGTTGGCGATTGCTTCCTGTATCCGGACGTTATGAAAGCCGGCAGATTAGAAAAGCATGCAGTGCTGCAGTCTTGTTACAGCGGTGAAGTCGCTGTAACAAGACAAGCTGTGTTAAACGATTTTAATTAGTTTTTATCAGCGTTGGATTATTGTAATATGAATTGTCTGTAGACTGTTGCCGATTGGCAAGTGTCATAAGGTACAATTCGTTAATGTTATCATTTTATGCGCGTGCAGACGCCATATGCAGTAGAAGGTACTGCAGTGTAGTGGCTATGTGATATCGGCGTCACGTCACTCTTGTGCCGGCATACAGTAGTGTCCAAAACCTACGAATAATTTAAATAGTCACGTGTAACGTCCTGATTTTTTTTTCTCATATACTCGTTAGGAATATTGATGCTTTCCGTGAATTTTTCTGTAGTTTCTTTAGAAGTAACGAAGCCTCGACAAATCAGTCGTGTTAGCTATCCCTCGAATAAAAAAATTACGAATGTTAATGATTTCTACGGTAATTCAAGTTAGTACGCGAGTTTTGCGTTACAGCTATGTGTCTGTAGGCAAAATCCGAAATCTGCCCTTTCAAAAGGTCCACTTTCTCAACCTACTACTGTAGTGATTAATTTCTTAGTAATTTTGCTCGCAAACATCGCCGGCTTTTGATTTTATGAAAAGCTCTCAGTTGTCTCCGTCCAACAAAATTCAAATAAATAGGGTGAATATTTTCATCCGAAAAAAATTAAGGGAATATTGAGCGGAAACATTCTGCTACATATAGCGGTTTCAAAAACGTTGACGGTTTCCTTGCGTGGTAGGCGGGACCTTTGTCAGCCTGCAGGACGCCCCGCCGGCCGCCCCACCCATGCCGGCCCCGCCGCTGTCCCGCAGCATCCGTCCCCTGCTGATGCCGCCACCCCCACCGGGCCCCCCGGGCGGGGCTCCCCGCGCCCTCCCCCACAACCTGGCCGCCGTCCTCCCGGCCGACCTGGACACCGTCATGGACACCACCGGGCCGGCCGTCGGCTTCGACGTGGACGTGGAGGAGGTGCTGAAACAGACGCTGAACATGGAAGGCAATCTGGACTTCAGCTACGACCAGCTGGGCTCGTACTTCAACGGCACCGGCCCGGATAACAAGAACGTCCCGCTGCGCTACGGCAACCAGAATATGTGGTCGTCATCCTAGGGCGGACGACAGCCTTGACGGAATTTTGTACATGTAACTGCCAAATTAATTCCCCATTTTTGAATTATCGCTGTAGTTAATTTCGAAATTAAATTGCCATTAATTCGGAATTAAATTTCATAGCGGTAATTACTGGCGGAATTATTTGCGAAGATGTAATTTGAGTTTCTGCGTTAATTATTACTGTACGATTGTTGGTTGTTTTGTTGTTTCTAAAACAATTATTAGAGTCTCAGTGGAATTTTCGGGGAAAATATTTTCTATAATTATATTTTTCGGTGGGTGTTCACGATGTATTTATACGTGGCGTTGTTACCTTTTGTTTCTCTTGTGAGATTAGCATGACGGCGTGGGGCGGTTGCGCTAGTATTCTGTATAGTTTTGTCTTCGTTTATCACACACACACAATTTTGGCTAGTATTTTTTTTCTCCGTTCAGTTTTAAGTTTTTATCCGGATTATTTAAATTGAGTTTGCAGGTTTCTTTTGTGGGAGCGGGATTGTTGCGGACTGTTTGTAATTAGATGCTGGTAATTGACACATGTTGTGTGTTTTTGGAGATTTCATTAAATTCTTGCAGCTGACCGTACGGATCGGGAAATGCGAAGTAGTTTCTGTATTGTTGGCAAAATGCACAGAGCAGATACAGGGTACTTGCAAGAAATTTCGGGTTTACAGTTTCTGTTTAGAAATAAAATTGGTGATAGTCGTAGTGCGGTGGCTGTGAATATCCTCTCCGTGATCCTCAGTTATATGAGCCGTATTAATGACCACGACGTCTTTCTTGAGTATTATTTTTTTGGTTGAAGAACTGAATTTGATGGCGTATGTGACTTTTTAGTACTTTTAGTTTTAATTTTTTCCAGAACTTGCTTTATTGTAAATTATGAAGTAGGGGCAAACGGAGAAGTACAAGCAAGAAAAAGATGACATATTCCAGAACATGATACGTAACATTGCGAGTCTATTAACCCTCTGGCAACCTGAAGCATTTCTGAATTGAGTAAATTCTAGCGTCGGACTAGAAATTAAAATGGAAATCGTTGCTCAGGAAAATCAAAATGAGATCGCATGTATCATACATTTTGGTGATTATTGTTTTTAGTGTAATTTCGAGAAAATTGCCTTGAAGCCGGTTTGGTACTCGGTCCCGAGCAACAAGAAAATCACCTGCAAAAATCCATGTTTAGTGATATCAAAGCGTGCCGAGAATTCCGTGATGCCGTCAAATGGCAGTTGTGCAGAATCGCCGTCCAACAGAATCAGGACATCGTAAAATCAAAAGATTACCTCTTCCATTAAATATAAAGAAGTTAAATATATGTTAAGTAAATCAAACTGCATTCGCTTGATGCTTATATTTGATTTCGATAAACTTTCCATTAAACCACATAAATTATAAAACAAGTAAAACAGATTGTTAAAAAAAGGCGAATTTTTTCAGTTCCGTATGAAACGTGCACAATTAAAAACCTGTTTCCAATGAGGAAAAAATTTGTTTCTTATACGGAAACGGAGAAAAATGGATATATGCATTTGATTTTATTGATTATTATATCGGAGTCTGTAATCGTTTTTCTGTTTAGGCGTATTATTAAGTAAAAACTAAATCTGTTTTTGTACAACTTATTCCTAGTTCATCGGTTACCGGTGTCCCGGCCGATCCGCACAACTCCAGCGTCCGCAAGCACAACAGTATAATCTCGTGACCGTTCCAGAACAGCGGAAACGCCGTATGAAATACCGGCACCGGCATAAAGCACGCCAGATTCCACACGTAGGCCACGATGAGCAGCCGCGCCAAGGTCACCTGCCGTTTGCGTTTCTCGTTGGTCTCGTGGTGGTCACTGTGCACATGACCTTTCTTCCACAGATGCGCCGCCACCAGCACGTAGCCGACGCCCTGCAGCGCCAACGGGAACGGGCCGGACATGATGCTGATGAAGTCGTACAGGGAACTCATCGCCTTCACCGGGGTGACGGTGCAGTGCCCGGAGGGTGACAGCGGCCAGAAGCGGCCGGCAATTTTCGCCACGATCAGACTGTTCAGGATCGCCGGAAAGAGCAGGCTGTAGCCGGAAACACAAAAGTTTTTCCCTCATTTTCTGTCATGATATTTTTAAAGGCATCCTTTACTTCAACAAGTATTCATCAGATGCAATTTAAATAATCATATTTTCAAAAAATAAACTGATATTTTCAGATTTTGTTCATTTTTCGGTATGTTTTCAGTTTTTTTTCAAACGCAGTTAAGGTATAGCATATAGTGTTATAAAACAGTGTTTTGAGTATTTCAGTTGTTCTATTTTTTCAGTTTTTAGTTGTATACGGTATTGTATAATTATTTCAGTTAATTTCTTTGGTCTGTTTTAAATAGTTTTAAAATTAATTAATCGATGTATAATCGTAAAATGTTTTGATTATTGATTAAGGCTCCACATGTTGCATTTTGGTACTACGGTCTGTCGATCAAGATGGCCATTCATACGCCACGGGACGTGTCGGACGCAAACTATAAATTAACATTATCTTGCCTGCTAACAAAAACGCGGCACGCTAGATCACTAGAGTAGTGTTTCAATCGATATTCTGTTTGCCGACGGTTTTCCCTAACTATATGACGCATATAGCGCATATAACTATCTGTATATCGCGCATATGCATCCACTTGAATCATCAATTAATTTTAATCGCCACAGAGAGACCTGATTAAACGGCCAACCAGGCTAATCTTACCTAAAGGTCATAGTGATGACGGTATTCCTCAGCCGGAAGACGTCCTTATACCGGAAGGGGAAATAACTGGCGGTAAAGCGGTTCCACGCCAGCATCGCCGCCGTCCAGTACGCCGCGCTGATATTGGCCGTCCGGAAGTAACCCAATAAACGGCAGTTAATGACCCCCACGGAGCCTAGTTGCGTGGTCAAGATGGCGGTGTTGTCCAGCGGGGAGAAAATAGCCACGTTCAGCAGGTCCAGGAATAACAGCTGGCAGATGAGTAAACTGCTGCGTAGCTTCTCCGTGGATTGGGTAAGGATGACGACAATGAGGACGATGCCGGTGAGAGCGCCGATTGTGCTAATGAGGGCAGTGGCGGTGATCCATGAGTATAAGAAGGGGAACGATGCCACTGGGATGTCGGAGGAGAGGTTGCCGGTCTTCGAAATATTCGACATACTACTGTTATTTTAAAAAATATTGAACCAGTTTTTAAAATATACCCGTTAAAAGCAAATCCCAGTTAAGGTCACTCCTTACATAAACCATAATTTTATGAAAAAAATATACTGCTAAAGGTAAATACCATTAAAGGTCACTTCTGATATAAGCCTACACGTTGAGCGCAGTTAATTTTAAAAATGAACCGTTAAAACAAAAACTACTGATTAAACATTAAAGGTCACTAATTTAAACAGCCAACTCATAATAATATTCCATCGAATGTAAAAACCTTCCAGGTTAACGCGCGATATGTGCATAAGGTCGCACAAATAGCTCCTGTTAAACTGATGTCTGTTTTCAACTTTTATACCGAATATTTCTGTTTAAATTTTCAACAGATTCCCGGTGGTTTTCGGTAGTGAAAGATGTTTACCGGAAGCACGCGCAGGTGCCGATATAAGCCTGATTTCTCCATATTAGCACTGGCCCGTGTTTCGCTCTTCCACCGGATGTTAATCAACGGACGAGACTGGCCTAATTTGCAATATGTACGACATGGATCGTAGAGTGTTTACATCCCATGGATCGCTGCCCTGGTACATCAGAGCTCCGTCTGGCATTCCGTCTAATTACTCCCGCGGCGCATATACCGCGCGCTGAAGTGCGGCCACTTGAGCGGTGACCTTTAGCTACCGCGAACGTCATTGCGCATCTGTGTTACCCGTACGTGACGTCACGTGATCGCTACGCCCTATACCTCGCTGCACGCTGTGAACAGCAATCCGTGCAGTGAAGCTGTAAATTCGAATCATCATTAATTAAGCAAGTGTTGTTGACTTCAGCAATATTTTTCATACATAATGATTTTCAAGATATTATTGACGAAGAACCCGTAGAATGTTGCGTAATATTCCCGTCTGACTGGTTATACTGTATAATTGTAATAGCAATATATTTAACAGCTACACAAATTTTTTGTTGTACTCCAGATTAATTTTTAGATTATGTACTGAGTTATTGCATTGAAAGAATGGAGAAGATGGGTGTGCAGCATTGACAACAAGGGTGATAGCTGTTTTCATCGCACGTCTGCTGCTTTTAGACCATTTCCGCCTGATCCAGATTTTTTGTTTGCCACATTAGCCCTCCGGTGATCCAGTCCAGGGTTCGTTGCACTCCCCTATTCTTTTTTATTTTTGCATGAAAACTGCAAGGTTGCTCCGCATAAAGAAGATTTTTGCAGTTGCAATAGCAAATGCTTTATTGGAAAAATAGTAATAATTTTGTTCCATCAGGCATCAGCTATGTTTTCGCACGCTCTCCTAACACAAATCTAACTACAAAATAAATAAAAATACAGTAAGTACTATACGTACATAATACATATTAATCCTGCCATTACAAATCTCATTCCATGGATGCGTGTTAATACTTTTAACTAACAGCATCTGAGTTTCTTATGCACTTTTCTTGACGTATGTTAATCGATTTTGATGCAGCTGCTGCTTGCAGTTGTAATTTGTAAACGGTGCCTCGGCTTACACAATAAATAAATTCAATAAATAAATTCAGTTCATAAAATAAAACAAACCTCAGAATTATCCCACTGCATTAATCTAACTGTACTGTATTAATATTAATAATACTACTGTAACAGTAATGAGAAAATTGCTAATAAAGTACTTACCCAATTTCTATGCCATTCAAAATAAACATACTGTTAATAATTTACAAGTGTCGGTCGCGCTAGCGCGCGACCAGTTGTGTTCGAGGTATGGAAGAAATTACAAAATATAATTCGTACAGCAATAAAATAGAATTTAAGAAATATTTCAAACGTAAAACCCCAGCGAGGCCAGCTGCGAAATGATTTTAAACATGTAGAAATGCGGACAGCTTCAAGCTTTCCGGTTAAATTCGACCAGTTTTATAAAAACAGTGAAAACCTCCGTAATTTTTCTTTTTGTTTGTCTTTTTCACGTTTTTAATGAACTTTATACTGCCGATCTAGCCCACTCAAAACTTGTTTTGTTTTGTACGAAAAGTAACATTTAAACGGTGATAAAATGGATGGAATGGGATCATTTACACGATGCCCATAAAAACCATTCAGCTGATATGCACAGAATTAATGGAAACAATTGTGCGAAAAATTTAATTAACAGCTGTTCGAGGTGACCTCGCAGGCTGCATCTTTAGCAAATAATTGTAGATTTTCTGCCATTCAGTGAGCCCTTCACCCTTCAGTTTTTAATAAATTGATATGAATACATATTAATTAGATTTAGAGGTTAGTGAATCCCCATGCAGCTACCACAAGTATTACAGAGCAACGTAGGTTAATGAAAACCCAAGCTCACACCAGTATTACAGAGGAACGTACAGAGTAGGTTAGTGAAGAACTGAAAGCCCAAGCTACCAACTATATAACAGAACTTTGCTACGTGAGTGAATACGGTAAGCGGGCCGCAGGCCGGCTTTTACATATTTTATAAGTTGATATACAATAGACACTTTAGACTGTGAGATAATAAGGTACACAGATTTCTAGATATTTTTGTACGTAATTTCGAAACTTTGGAGGCTCGAAAAATCAGAGGTAACGGCCCCGCGCAGCGGGGCCGAGTTGAAATATTTAGAAATTCTGGAAATGTGAAAGCTTTGGAGCCAAATTTGGAAAAATTTCTAGTTATTCGGAGGTATCCGAACGGATTTAAACAACTTAAGGTTTCCAGAATTTAAAAAAATAAATCAGTAGGTTTGATGTACTTACTGTAATTGACAATTTTAAGTACGAGTAACTATTGTTGAGGTTGCTAAGTTGCGAAACTTGTATTTGCTCATTCGAGACGTTTCCAGAATTTACTGGAAATTTCTATGAACTTTAAACGCAAGTACAGAAAGTTTGAAGGGGTTTTTGAAAACGTTCCGGAAACCAAAATTTTTTCCCAAGCTGCAGGTAGGAAGCTTTGGAAGATGCTTTCTTTTATAAAATAAACACCTTAGCGGAAAACTCAATGTTGATTTAGGAGATAATTTCCAAACCTAACAACCTTTAAGTACTAGCTATCTTTAAGTACTACAACTTCTAAAAAAATTTTTAGATCTCCTCCAAAACTTCAGATTTTTTTAATGATAAAGGTAGGAACCTTTGTGCGATGCTCTATTTTATAAAATTCTCAACTTATTGAAAAAATGATTCTTGATTTAGGAGATAATTTCCAAAAAATTAGGACGTAAGGATACATGAATCTATTGATAATAATTATTTTCTTTACTAGTACTTATTTGTATCTGCATTGTACAGATCTGTAGGACGATCGATGGACGAGGGGGGCGGGATGTTGGTGGCCGGATGGATCACCCTCATCATCGTGCTGGCAATTTTCATATTCATCCCGCTGATTATCCTGGCTATCGTCTGCTACCGGCGCAAATACCACGGCACGGTGCAGGGCGCGGTGACGTCGGGAGCGCCCACCTACCCCGTCGGCCAGCCGGCCACCGTGACCTATCCGACGTACGGTTATGCGGCGTACAGTTACCCGGCAACCGGCGCTGCACCTCCCCCCGCTGCATCATCAGCACAACCTCCGCCAGCGGATCCCGCGGCGGCTGCCACGCCGGCGCCTCCGCCGACGCGCAAGACGCATTAAGCGGTTGACCTTTAGCTTAACTTTTTTCTGTTTAGTTTATTTTCGGAACAGACAAACGCTTGAGGCACTCGCAAGTCGGGTTCGTATGTATGTAAACATAAACCTTAGGGAAATATACAAAAGATTATGGCGTTTCAAAACACTGAGGAACGTTGCACAATATTCTTACGTAAACGTTGCACAATATTCGATAGCTGTAAGCAATGACCGGTAATTTTTCTCAGTACAGAGTAGGTACCTCAATCGAAGACATAATATTCCTTAAGTGCTTGTTCTTTGTACCGCCATCGGTAATTTTATCAAACCAAGTTTTGAGCCTCATCGCTTTTAAGTTTGTCGTTCCTGTATGGCAAAATGGATGTTGTGTTTGACATACGAAAACCATTAACTCACTTCAAAAGCTGATCCACTTCGACGCCGAAATATTTCGCATGCTGATGGATTGGCAAATCTTGCCCGTTTAAAATCAGTGGTGGACCGGCTTCCGTCTTATTCTTCTTTTCCGTACAAACGTGGGGATACCTACGCACTTCTTAGTACAATATCCAGCGTCCAGCAGTACATGTACAAAAGGTTACATAAAAACAATTTGAAAAACATCGATGCCGTAAATCACTGGGAAATGGCAACCAGTTAGACCAGTTTCTGTCACTGGTTTTTACTCGTTGTCAACGACCAGTGAGGGCAGAGGTAGTAACGTTGTTTTTGTTTTTAAACACAGTAGCTGTACCTCTTGTACGGTAACACCAGTTTCATTCGGTTAAAATTGGTACGATAGATTTGAAATTTCTCTTGCGTAAAGCAGTGTCATAAGTTAGTATACAGAGTCTGTACTGTCTTACTGAACTAAGTCTGTACTGTGTTACTGAAGATTCCTCGCACGCGCCAGACATAATTTCAAAATTCCAAAAATTTCAACACATCTGTGGTCGGACAGGGGCAGACCGGGCATGTTGCCGGCACACAAATGTCAAATATCTTGACTGTTTTGTAAAAAGAATTTTTGAATTTATTTGCATTTTAATTTGTTTTAATTTTTTAACAGTGATAGTGGGATTAATTGGAAAATTTCAAGCATAATATCTGGAATAATGCGACGAGTCATACAATTACAGAAATAAATACACTGCATCCCTTCCGGTAACGGTGTCGGATCCCTTCGACGTCAACAACGCGTCCACGTGGTCCATGTGCTCGACCTGTTGGTACGAGCACGATGACGACCTGAACGTCGCCGGCTTGAATTACGACTGCTTGTACAGCCAGCTACCCAACAGAAGCGTGGGTAGCAGTATTACCGCTTGCCTGTGCCAGCAAATACTGCGAAGTCAGCATGGGCCGCTTTCAGCGGTGGACAAACAATTACAACAATTCCGACTACAAGCGCACCTGTGAGTGACGAGAGATCGCCGCAGTTAACGGTCAACGAAGCCTCCGTTTTAATTATATTTACAACGGTGCCTTCAGAATGGTCATCAAGGCCTAAACGCTCATGGCTAATCAACGGTTATCCGGGCCTTAATGGTTATAATGTGATCCGTAAAAGGTCACCACGTGATGTAAGATTATCTGGCTTTGTAACTGCTTATAGTGTGACCCCTTAAAGGTATAAGCATTAAGCACCTACGGCGTATTTCTTGCGGTGTTAATTGCAGCATTAAGTACACTGATAACATTTTATGAGTAACAAATACCACCACCTGCGGCACATGAGCAAGCCAGAAAAAATCCTCACAAGCGGAAACGTGGCACACAGATGACTTCGCCGCCTGATGGTAGAGATATGTTTAGAATACCTAGAAAAAAATATCAGTATGATACAGGATATGTGTACAGTAAATATGCATCAATATAACAAAAATAATAAGTACTTATCTGTACCTAAAATCGCCACTCGGCCCCAGTGGGTGGCGTTATAAAACTGATTATTGGTTCCGTCATCCACGAGGCGTCGGCCTTTATCGAATATGGATATGCTTTGATGGGTCCAAGAGATGTCCTTTGCACTGCCTGTGGACGCTTCGCAAGTTAGAATTAGATTTGAGCCAATTCTTGGTCGATAAACATGCTCTTCCGTTGCAGAACTCTTGCTGGCAGATCTCTGATATTTTTCAGGAAATTTCAGTATGATTCTGTCATCTTCGCGGGTACCCACAGACTGCTGGATGATATCATCCACTAAAATATTTCGTTTTCTATTTGCGTAATTCACGTTGAAATTCTGTGGTTTGTAGAAGCACAAGCTGCAAAACTTTTAGTCTCGAACAGACTTTTTTAGTTTCTATGAGGTCGACCACATATTTATCTTAGCTGAATTTGTTATCACGTATTATTTCGTAGTATTATTATTTAATTAATGTTCGGATAGATAACTATATTTTAGTTCTGAAAAACGAAATTATAAATTATAAACGTTTAAAACAGAACTAATGTGCAAGGATAATTTAATTTTTTTAAGCTGCGCCTTACGGCTAAGATCTGCGTCGCTGATGACTGCAGCTGCAGTAGTGGTTTTCCGCGTTAGACTGCATGCCTCACTCCGGTGTCTTGCTGGCCACACACAAGCAAACAATATGATATTATAGCACAACGAGAAAAAAAAGTTATTCCGCGCATTTGTGCTGCGTTTAATAGCCGCGAAAAAGGCCAACATCGAAAGACTGCATGCATCATCTGTTTAACCCCGTTCAGGGGATTCCGAAGTCGATAAGGATTTGTTAATCTTAGGTTCTGGTAACCTTTAAGATTTTGTTAGCCTACCTCTGAGGTAATAATTATCGCAATTGCACTATTTTTGCAATCGCTTGTAATTACGGCACATGTTACTTTGTAATGTAACGTATACGAATTGTTTGGTACGATTTGCCCTGAATAAACTCCGAATTTGTTGCGCAGTACCTTGACCACAATAATAGAATAGATTCCCGGGGAATCTATCTATTATTGGTCGAAGAGGGACGGTTACTCCCACACTGTCTGACCAGCGCCCGCTTCCCTTGCCGGGTTGTATATAAAGCGGGAGCGCTGTAACGGCGCATTACATTTGTCCATTTTTGCTGGCTGGCTGGCTGGCGGATTAATTTAGATCCGACCAGCCAGTGCTTATTAATCTTACTTTAAGCTTTCACTTTTCATATTTCTTGCTCCATTTTGGCACTAGAATACGTAAAATTTTTTGCTTGTTCTTCTGATATATGACATTAAACGCTGTGTTGAGCCTTTAACATGCCGTCGGCAAAAAACTCTCCTATGGAGTTTCACCATCTCAACATCCAGGGCTGCCCTATGATAATTATCATAAGCTTGATTTACTGTCAAATTATCTTTGCATTGATGACAATGTTTCGAAGTTTTTCGCTGTCACTGAAACTCATCTCCGTCCTTCGGATTCTGATCAGTTGTTTTCCATTCCCGGATACTGTTTATTTCGTAGCGATCGACCTGATATTCATGGTAAAACACGCGGTGGTGGGATTCTATGCTACGTACCTCAACATATAACGGCTGAGCGTGTCGAGCTGAAGTTTCGTTCTAAGGGATTTGAATGTCTGTGGTTACGACTCACTGTTTCTCATCGCAAAATTATTATTGGGACCGTGTATCGTCAGCCTGATTCGAATTCTGTCGAAACCAAAGCGTTGTTCAATCATTTGCGGGAAGTACTGTTAAAATATCCGGGCAGCGATCATATAATCATGGGGGATCTGAACATCGATTCCTCCCCTGGTTCCTCAAGCCCCTATGTCAAATTGTACAGTGATTTTGTAGATGAATTTTCCTTCGAAGATAAGGTAATCGGACACACTCGGGTAGCACATCGCTTGAGACAATCTGATAATACCTTAAGCACTACATCCACTAAGATTGACGTAATATTGTGCAGTCCTAAGAATTCATACGTGTCGTGCCAACCGTCAGATGTAAGTTGTTCAGATCATATGCTGTGCAAAACGGTCTCCGCTTTTCAGTGCAAACAACCGGAGCACAGAGTGATTTACTTTCGTGATTGGAAAGCGACTAATTTTCAGTCTTTCAAAAGTCAAGTTTTTGATTTTACAAAGAATTACGTTAATTACGTTGATTATCCGGACGTCGATGATGAAGTTTCAAAATTTGTTGGTGGTTTAGCTGAAATAATTAACAGGTGCTATCCGTTACGATCGAAAAGAGCCTCGAATAGCAGTGCACCTTGGATTAACGGTCGCATTAAACGTCTGATAAAAAATAAAAATCTCGCATACAAGCGGAAGAAGTTGTCGAAAAGTGCCTCTGAGTATCAAGGCAATTGTCAACAATTTAAGAACTTGAAGCGAGAATTATTTACGGAGATTAAGAACGCTAAGCGAATCTATTTCGAACAAAATGTACAAAATTCAAAAATAATGTGGCGCGAAATTAACCGTTTGCGAGGAAAGAACAACGAAAATGGTAATCTGGACTTCGATTTAAATAATTTAAACAAACATTTCGCTACAATGGGGGAGCACGGTAAACGGCACCCCGTGGCTGTCATCCCGAAGGAGGCTGATACGGCGACATTTGAATTTGATCAGCTTACTCCAGACGTGGTTGCTGAAATGTTTGGGAAAATCTTAAGTAAGAGAAAATGTGCGGGACCGAAAGGTATACCACATAAACTCTTGCTGGAAATTTCCCCTATACTGGTCGAGCCCATAACCCATCTCATAAACCAGTGTTTCAAAAAAAATGTCTTCCCGTCAATTTTCAAATTGGCGGAAGTAATCGCTTTACCAAAAACTGTTCATCCAACAACACCGGATGAATTTCGTCCTATTTCACTTTTGTGTAATTTGTCAAAATTGTTTGAAAAATGCGCCCAACTGCAGCTGAACAAATTTTTGAAAAAAGAAGGCATTCTTGCACCTAACCAATCCGGTTTCCGTAACGGCCATTCATGTGAAACGTTATTGTTAAAAGTGACGGAGACATGGAAAAAGGCTGTCGATAGCAAGAAGTGTGTTGCAGTTGTTTTTCTTGATTTGAAAAGAGCTTTTCCGTCAGTGTGCCATTTGACTCTGTTGGAGACACTCCGTGATATAGGAGTAAAGTCTTCAGCGTTAAAATGGTTTTACTCGTATCTGACCGGCCGCTCGCAACGTGTACGTCATGGCATGAAGTTCTCTTCGTGGGAACATGTTTGGGCAGGCGTTCCGCAAGGGTCTATACTTGGTCCCATTTTATTTACAATTTACATTAATGCCCTACTGAAACTGAGGCTACCAAACGTGCATTTAGAAAGCTTTGCTGACGACACCATCTGCTATGCTGTTGCTAACACGAAAGCGGACGCAGCAAAGATCTAACTGAAGCACTACCGGCAGTCTGTGAGTGGCTTAATTCCAACCGGTTGTTCGTCAACGAGAAAAAATCGAATTTGTTACTAATAAGTTCAGCGCATAATCGCGAAACCAACGTAAGCGTAATGCTGAACGGTCATAAATTACTTCCAGAAAAGTCAGTGAAACATCTTGGAGTGATACTGGATGAACATCTCAGTTGGGCTGACCATGTTAAAAGGTCCAGAAGAATGTTCGGTACGGTATATCACTGTTAAATCGTGTTAAAGTCGGCCTGCCAACATCCCAACGCATTGCGCTTTTCTATGCCTTTGTTCAGTCGCATCTGGACTACTGCTCTACAGTGTGGAGCGGGGCATCTGTGCGCTTGCGTGATAAATTGGCCGCGATGCATCGTAACGGTGTCCGAGCGGCTGCAAACTACGCAAAGATACCCACGGAATCGTTCATGAACCAACATGGGATCTTACCGCTCTTCACGAGATGGAAACAAAAGGAAGCGATATGGTTATACAAGATCAAACATCCGGAAAAATTCCATGTGCCGCAGTACATCTCTGAGATGGTGGAATTTGATGACCGTATAAAGCCGTACAACCTTCGGAGTAGAAACCGCATCCTGATCAAGGCGGTAGCGAAGAAGAAAGTTGGCGAGACGACCTTTGCTTGGAAACTTAATAAATTGTGGACATTTTTTGTTGATTCTAATTTTTCTGATCTGTTCCATATTCATACAGTTGGTGCCTTTAAGCAAGCTTTGAACCGTGTCAATTTTGTTTAGGACGTCTTTTCTGTCTATCTGCACTCGTACTTTTCGATTTTGCTATTTGGCCAGGTTTAAAATCCCAGCTAGAATGTCACCCTAGCCGGAAATGGGCTACCTGCTCCACGATGAATAATAATAATAATAATAATATACCTGTTAGCAATTACGAATTCAGTAACCCTAAGCTTTCCGAGCCACCTATGGGCGTACGCACACTAAGGTAGTCCTGCACTACAGAAAGTAAACGTAAGCACCTACTTATACGGATTGTGAGGCAGTGTAAGTGTAAGTTGTGTAACTGACATTTAGGCAGCGTAGCAACAAATCTGTTCTTATAGATCCTGCATCGCCACCGTCCCGGACATCACAGAGTGTCCCCACCGCCGGTTACCACCCCGACGGTGCCGTCATGGTGCACGACTGGCGTTAGTTTGCGGCCTCATTAAGTTACAACTTCTTAACTGTGATGGGAAACGCAAAATTTTATGTTCTGTAAGGCGGCGTTATCAATACCCAGGCAACAGAAGGATAAATGTCCCAAAAGCGTGGAATGTGGATAGCGTACGAAAAAACGGTAAAATTGTATTGGTGGGTATGGGAGATGCCGAAGAACTGTAGGAATGTCATCGTGAAATACCTGCCTATTCGCGGTTACGAATTCTTGTAAAGTATTTGTTTTTAGCATAAGACGACGTACTGGATTGCCGAAATTCGGTAAAACAGAACTAATAGGCACTACATACATTGACTAAGCTGCACAATTTCAGCATACTTTCCAACAAGTATGCTAAAACCGGAACCTTGCTTGAAAGGTTCGGAACCTTCCAAGCAAGGTCGCGTGCCTAACCTAACCTGTAGCCTGTATGTGTTTCAGAAAGAGAAGGACGTCTATGAGCTGTAGGGATGCTAGCAATATGGAATATCTGCCTATTCGATCACAAATTCCCGTATATTTGGCATAAAATTTCGGTTTTGTGTCACCTGGCAAACAAAATTAGGCATTTTAAAGGTTACAGTACTCGACATTTATGACACCGGTTTCCATTATGAAGTTATAATGTTGTAAAATGTTGTTTTTGTTAAGCGCTTAAAAAATTCCACGTCCAGTGCTTTTAAAATAAAACCTTTATTATTTCTAGTCATTTTTCGAAGCAGAACGCGTGCATTTTGCGCAGAATATACCGACTAAAAGCAAGCATTTAAATTGAATCGATGCTTTCGTAATCGATTACGATTTTTCATATTAATTTTACTGTTAGTATAAACCAGCGCTGTTAGCACCGCGTTTTTAGCATTGTTAAAATGCTAGGTTTTGTGTTAAAATGGTAGGTTGTAAAATGCAGCGCTGCAAATGATCGTTCGTTGTGCAGTCTTTACTTCGGCGACTTCGTTTGTTTGTTTCTCTCCTGTATAATGAGCAGAGAGTAGCCAAGAAAGGTTCAGCTTCAGCAGTGTCGTCCCGCCACGTCAGGGCACTAACCCAATCAAGTATAATTTTCATGTGCCATGCTTCTAGAGCTTTCAAAATAAATCTTTCCGGTTTCTAATCATTTCCAAGCAGAAAGCGTAACCTTGCGCGGAATAAATCGGCTAAACAACCACGCAAAATCGATTGATTATTACAGTACTTGATGTTACGACGCTTTAAACGTTTGAAAACACCGGCGGTTTGAAAACATGCTGAATCTGATGGTGTTCACCTATTTTTACTGCATTTTCCGATCGCAAGTTTGGGGTTGAGGTTGTAGAAAAATTCGCACCTTGACAAGCAATAATTATGCAAAGTTATGCACCTTGGTGCATCTACGTAACAGGCGACACGACCTTGTTTTGGCTACTGGTCAAATATAATATTTCGTGGATCCCATATAGTGCTATTTTGTTGAGATGGACAGAATCCAATTGTGTCAGAAAAAAGTCAGTATAATGTTATTAGTCTACTAGCGATAGAGTTTGTACGACCGATAAAATCACCCAGTTTTGATTCATTCTTCCATCGCGTTCTGAAGTTCTGTTTATTCATACCGGCTACTCTGATGGAGCGCTTCTGTAATTTTAGTCCCAGGCTGTTTCCTATCCAATAGTTTTGCAGAATATAATAATCAGACGTTACCTTACCTCCACAAAACCCGAGTGACCTTTACGCGGTGTGGGCGAATTACTGGATGGCTTCCTTTGTCTGGATGACCTTTGCAGGTCTGCCGTACAATCGCGGGATAACCAATTTTACGAGTAGTGTAAAATCTTGTTTGCAAAATAATTACTTAGTGTCTGAATAAAAGTTTTGATCCTCAGAATAAGTCCGAAACATTTTGTGACAACAAAGTCCCAAAGAAACCATGATCAGTTTACTTGTCACAGCATTATTGATTTTTTCTTTACTTTGTCTTACACTTCCACTTCCTCGCTTGTGTTAAACATCTGCAGCAGATGTCCATTAAAACAGCAAAATTGTTTAGTTTGATCCATGTCTCCATCATGGAAGGTGTCCACTTAAGGTCACATATATATATTTGTACGAGTATGATAGGCAATCATGCTTTTGTGTTGGCGTTCTTAACATGTTAAATTGTTCCGGTCGAAGGCCTTACAGCGTTATTATATCAGTGATATGCGCGTGCTCATAACTAATCCTTTATAAATTTTTAATTTATGGACAATATTACATATGTAGAAGTACATAATAAAACGATAGTCTTAAAGCACCTCAACTGGAATTGCTTATACAGCGCTTCCAAGGAGCAAAAGACAATTTAGATTGGAAAAGGATGCGAGGTCACGAAGCAGCTATTACTACGAATACCAGAATCGAGAAACACAAGTTTACTGTGCGGCCAGATCGCAGGCAAATTTATTAGAACGCGTCCGGTACGAAGGGAAGTAGAAACAAAACTAAAATCAGGTTGAGAAATAGAATGGGCAGCTTTCGATAACGTGTCTAGTCATGCTACGATCATGGCAAGCTGGTCAGAAAACGGGACCACACATGGTGAACCGCTTAGAAAACATTCATCCGCTTTAATGTATGTAGTATGATAAAATTTTCTAAAAGCAGCCCAATAATATTATCTGCACTGCCACAAATCATAAGCAAATGACTAATCAGAAGCAAAATTTTGATACTTCAAGCACAGCATAAATAATCGCCCAGAGCGCAACAATGCAAAATTGAGTAACGTACTTACGTTTTCTGAGAGTGAAAAATTCTGCATTAAAAGAAAACCCTTACGTATTTACGGTTAGTTAAAAATCATTAGCTAGCCAAACTGAACTGCATTACGGTGCATAAATTCGAAACACGCATCACTGCGGATTTTATCAGTATAAAAAACGGCACTGTCGATCAATACCTTGCACTGTTCCACTCTGGTCGATGTATCTGTAAACGCGCAAACGTTTATTTTTTATGCAAATGAAGGTACCTAACAGACAGGCATCTGCGTTGGATTTTTTTAAAAGTTTTTTTAAAATAGCAAGTTCTCATGCGCGGCGACTATCTTGCAGCATCCTGTTGTCGTGCGGCATCTCGTTGTCTTGCAGCCTCCCGTTCCTGATCATGCCGATCGAATAGACTGGATGCCTCGGCGATGCTCACGTGCACCAGAGTTTTCTGCAAAAATAAAGATGAAAACTACTGTAATGAAACTGTACCGACAAATTCTACTAGCAGACATAATAAAAGCGGGAGAGGTGAAAAGTCATTCATGATCAGCAGCTAGATCCCTATTATAGTACGTATCTATAGCCTTTTATTTGTACTTTGTTGGGTGGTCTAGCTGCTGATTCGCTGAATGCTTTTTCAGTTGCATTGGACAAAATACTAGCTATAGTACTGTACATCGCCTTTTAACCCAAGAGAGGATAGGGATTTTGGTTGTTTTTTTAATCCTTAATTTTTAACTATTAAGCAGTGTACCAGCGCTTGCAATTATTTTCATTTGGGTGGCTATTGCCAATAAAGATATTCATTACATTACTTATACAATACATTATACAGTTTATACTACAAAGTACTGTACGTTTTCACATGTACTTACAGCATACTATACTACAGCCTGTATTGTAGTACTTACAATCATCTTTAAAATGCAAAACTTAATGGTTTATCGATGTACCGGTCTATGTAAAATACTAAATTATCGATGTAAAATACCGGTCTTAAGAAACTGTACAACGACAACTGGCCATGGCCGGCACGATTTAATACGGGCCCAAGGCAAGAGGCATAAATTCGGGAATATGTAAAAAATGGAAGGCCACATGTGACAAAATACCAGTCTTGCATATGCTCTTGTACTCAGCGAGCCTGGGTGTCTGAAATTATGGAAACTGAAAATTTTAATACTGTACTTAACGGACGCAAGCCAGAAATGAGCGAACTAATACGCGCGATTTTGTTAGTATCAAAGTAGAAGACGTGACTTACCGTTAGACGCCATTCTCGTCCCTACGCATTTCACTATCGTTGTTAAGCAAAACTGACCGATAATTTGAATTACTCGTGCTTATTGGAGCTCGAGTGCGATATGTTCCTTGTCTTTGCAAATTGGAATGCTAGTGCTAAACCAAAGAGCTGATAAAATGAAAAACAATTACGGAGCATCAGAACAATTAAGGAGCATCAGAACAATTACGGAGCACATCGATAAACCATTAATAAAAAGATATGCCTGCAGTAGTATGTAAAACGGGGTATCAAAGTAAGTAACCATGCAAACGCCGGGTTCCCGGGTATCTGCCTTTGTACGAGCAATATCGTTTAAAGGAGCAGCCAGTGGGCGTATAATGTTAGGTATTACAGAATGCAGAGCAAAGTATCATCATCGATCTTATAAAATCAGCTTTAATCAAGTGAGTTTGCACATGGCTAGACGTTCAGCCTGATAATACAAAGGGCATTCCAAAATAACTTTTTCTAATACTCCTTCAGAAATTGTCTTCAGCTGCTAATATCCATATCACTACATACGCTAACAGACAAAGGGCATTCTAATACAAAGGGCATTCTAAAATGGCTTTTTCTAATTTATGTACCCCTTCAGAAATTGTCTTCAGCTGCTAATATCCATATCACTACATACGCTAACACACAAAGGGCATTCTAATACAAAAGGCATTCTAAAATAGCTTTTTCTAATTTATGTACCCCTTCAGAAATTGTCTTCAGCTGCTAATATCCACATCACTATCATAAGATACAATACATAAAATTGATTTTATTGCTATCAAAAGGGAAAAGTTGCCGAAACGTACTACTGACGGTCTCTGACATTTTTTCTTGCGATTCACCCAAGTTTATAAAATTAAAAACAGATGAAGTAACGGATCAAACCAGCATACTTATGAAAATCAGATCTATACAACGAAATTTGACTTACCACGTCGAAGAAATTCCGAAAATCGGAAAAAGGAATAGGCGCCTTCAATCATTTGCCCCAGGACCTCAGATTTCTCAACAATCCGGCGCATATCTCTCAATTCCCGCTTTGTGAAGTTCTGCCGTTGATTGCGTTCAACCACTTACGGATGTCCGTCCTCCGCTAACAACGACATCTTGTCGCTTAGCATTCTTTTATATGCTGCGAGTAGCTCGGTTTCTACAAAATACGAACCTTATTTTAGGCTGTCGCCTACGGGTCATGCTGAGAAAGCCGATGGCTAGAAAAGGTCTTATTGTTTTCTTAACACTTAACTGTTTGCTTATTTTTGCTTAAATACGCGTACATTTTAGAAATAGTCCATAGCCAATAGCCAATAGGTATCCAGCCAGCATAGTTTCTTGTTTGTTTGTTTGTTTGTTTAATGAGCTTAATGTCTACAACAATCAGGGATGTCCTGCACGAGGTTATAGACTAACATGGGAGAAAAGGCTATCACATGAGTGATAGCCTTACATATAAAACATCGCAGACATAAACAACAGTTTTACAGTAAACAGTAATGATCAACATGAAGTTGAAGGAAACGCTTAGTCCATTTTAAATCCGCCCATTCAACCGTATCCAGGCAAGAGTCAAAACTGGTGATGCGGTTGTATGATTCCTGGGGCAGCTTGATTTCGTTCCACAAGTGCGCCATCAGATAAGCAAAGCTGCGCTCGCTGATGAACTTCCGTCCGTCCGGGGTGCACGTGTCCACGGGTTCCACTGCGTAGGGATGTTCATCAAGAGACGTTATTTGGCGTGTTCTACCTGCAATACAAACAGCGGCAGCACCAAGTTTTTCACGAAGCTTGAAAAATTTTTCTCCATAAGGTACAAGACGGAACACCATCTTGTACACCAGGAGCAGAGATTTACGAATACGACAAAATAACAGAGACTTATATCCCGCATTTTTGAGCGTTTCGGCATACTCAAACTTGCAAGGTCCGAATCTGATACTTTTTAAAAATCGAAATTGGCAGTCTTCTAACTGATCAATCTGTAACTTTTGTTGACAGAAAGCTACGGAACTGCCATAATCGGCTATCGGTTTAACAAGGGAATCATACAACTTCGTTCGAGCCGCACTGTTTTGATATGGAAACAGTGCGTTTAGGTAACGGATTCTTTTTTTCATGCGGGTAGCTAGATTATCGCTGTTACGTTTCCAGTTTAAATGTCGGTCCAGATAGATGCCTAGGTACTTCACATTGTCGGATACGGGAATGCTTTCACCGCTTAACGTATACACACTGCTATATATGGTTTGCAATAACACACAACATATCACAGTACTATTTTTACCACATAATATCTTGCTTTTATTAATTTAATGATTCCACAGGCACTCACCTTTGGGTGCCCCAGTGTCATCTTTGCATTCATCTTCATACAGCCTGCAGGTCAGATGCAAAGCAGCGGCAAGGAGGGGGCGTAGTGCCGCGTATCCGAAGATGACGTCCATTGCCGTCTGGACTTTCTCATCGTTCCCCAAACAATCACGGCATGGCCGAAATCGACAACAAAATTCTTTCAGTCCCACAAGAAGCGCACGGAAGGACAGTTGACCGGATAGTTTCGCAACAAGCACCATGGCCACTAAAGGCATGCCAAGGTCACGTATCCAAGGTTCCGGGTTTAATAAAAATCTCCACGAATCCCAGAAACCAGGATCCGGCGAATCGTTGGTGACGGTGGTAGGGTGGGGTGGGCATATCGAGGTGAAGTTTCCCAAGTACTGCATGATACCTACCTTAACACCGCCTGCAATAAGCTCCTGAAGCTGTTGACGGCCAGCGGTGTCACCTGAAATAAAAAACATCGGTTGTGGCATTTTACCGATAGAAACAGACAACACTGCGGCACTTTGACTTGCACAGCAGTTGCTTTATATCGGGCGTGAAATACAACATTATAATCGTCGAGTTAATACAAATACACATCCGCGGTAATGACACACATAATTCGATAATCCGCTTTGGATATACGTCCCCGGTAGGTAGGATTTAAGCGGTGCATCGTTGAATTGATTGAATCTGGGATCAATGCGAATTAATTCTTCCGCTGTGCCATATATAAGATTTTTTAGACGTCTACGAGTAGGAGAGGTTTTTCCTTTTAATGATGTGCACGCTGTGCTAATTGTTTAGAGACAGATCGATGTCTGCCTATTGCATTTTGTTGAAAAAATTTGTGGATCATCGGAATAGCGCATAACAAGCGTGGTCGAAGAAAAATCAGATAGTTTCGCCGAAGCTTTAAGGAAAATGACCCGGTACATGGCGTCAAAAATGGAATACATACACTAAAACTTTCGCTTTACCGCACTCTGAATCGCTCTTCTGTAATACTTTACGTATTAAAGATAAAACGTAATGCACATAAGTTACATAACAGCAAGCGTACTGTACGCTTTTTCGCAGTGCTTTTGGGAGCGCAAAAGTAGGGGCGCCGAATACTGAACTGAATTCATAACAAGATTTAGGCATGCTGCGAAAAAATTATTTTTACTTTCTCCTAATACTTCCGGGGAATACAATGCGCCAACATCAGCGGCGCAAACGGCCAGCCAGAGAAGAAAGAACAAATAGAACCCTCACCGGTGAAAAAGTGGCCAGAAAAAGATTACAGAATAAAAGGTCGCACGATATATGTGCCTAATTATACTGCATTACATGCTAACATTACGAACACAAAAAAAAAACAGAAAAAGACACGAACACTTACCAGAAGGACACATTTTCTAGTGTTTTTCAATTCGATTTTCGGGCTGGCTAAGTGTAGCCCTGTATGAAACTATCATTTGATAGTTCTGAGGAAAATTCTTTCACTTAAATTTTAGACGTTCTACTGCTACTCTCAATAGCAGCTGTCGGAGCAATGTCAGATAGCGTACTACCATTAGTATTATAAATAGTGGAAGCTGGAAAGACAACCACGTAGGCAATAAAATATCGGTATCCCGTACCGCGCTCGAAAATCTTTTGCTGCAGATTGTACTTGCAATACTTGCTGCAATTGTACTTGCTTCTTAATTATCAAGTTGTTTTCCTGTTTTTTTGGCGTATAGCTGCCGAAAAATTGCGCTTTTACTGCGTTGCAAAAAGCATTGTGTAACTGGAATCTTTCGGTATTATACATAATCTGATAATCACACGCATTTATTCTAAATATCGCATTTACGCATTTCATTTACATCGGATTCGTTACTGAGCTCATCTGACCTTTTGAAAAATATCAACAATTCTATTCGTACAGTACAGGTAATATTCTTTAATTTCACCAGTCGAGTACGTGCACAGAAAATAAAATGACTGGAAAAGAATAATCCTACGATAACGCGTAGCAAAATGTGTGGTTTAATTCGAATTTCGCCGGCACTCTCTCATTTTTAATCGACAACGCTTGTTATGCTTCATTCCGATAATCTATAATTCTGTTTCGAACGAAGTTTAATAGTCATTCATCGATCTTTATAATTAGCACAGCGCGCATAACCTTGAACGAAAAAACCTCACCTACTTGTTGATGTGTAAAAAATCTTATGGCACAGCGGAAGAATTAATTCCCATTGATCCAAGGTTCAATTGATTGAAAAGGGAACCGCTCAAATTGTACGTCTACAGTACCTCGGACTTATTTCCAACGTGCATTACTGAATGACGTGTGCCGTGACATGTGATATGTATCTCCTTGTTAACTGGTTACTGGATGATGATACTATGGTATTTTACGCCAAGTACAGAGTAGATACAGCTCCAGCCTCCAGTGCAAGATGACAACACGTCAACAACCTGGGAGGGTAGTCGCAGATCGAAATTAAGTAATACAGATATGTTATCGGTAAGGAAGTCATTGATCCGGCGCGCAGAAAAAAGGTCAATCCCTAACAATTCCTTGTTTCCATCGGGCTTTTACACAATGTAGGGATTTTCTGTCACGTTGGTTCCATCAGAACCACACCGATCCGTAACCTCGACGAATAAACACTAGGCGGAGTTATCAAAAATAAGTAAGACAGATACATTTTCTGGAACTAATAGCGCGGTTCTGATGGATTTGAGTTCACAAATGCAGCAACTACCGCTACAAAAGCTGGTTTGTAGTACGACAAAGCTTTGTTAGTGCTAGAATGCTTCATCTCGTTCGGTTTTGCAACTTTCCACTAACCATAAGTACGAGTAAGTACTCCGTACATTACATTGCTTACATTACACCTGTTGATTAAAAAATTCGAAATTTAGAAATCGACGGCTGTAGTGAACTGCTGTACGTGTTTAGAATATGATAATAATGTCCAGCAATCAATCAATCAAGCGATATATATATCGGCTTATACCTCTTATATAAGAGGTATTGTGACTTCCGGTGGCTAGCATTAATTACGACTATTTCACCAGTTTACATAATACCACAGCCAATTAACTACGTATACGTAGTAGTACTAGTAGTAGTATTAGTAAGCCAGTACTATTATTGGGCTGTGATTATAATATCTGTGTGCGGCCTCCGGCTTCCGTAAGTGCGAACATTTTCCCGTTATCAGTCATGCTTATTTAATAGTTTCCTTGTTTCCCAAAACGTGGCTATTTTGTTAAAATTATTTTGTGAAAAGAATAACTAACTAGGTATTTGATTTACCGTAAAAGCCGGCAGTTACATACGCGCGCCGCCGGTCAAAACTCGAGGGTATTTACTTCCAGGCGTATTGATTTACAATTTGAAGTGTATTTCGGAGGCAGGTTCACTGTACAATATATTAGGTAAATGCACATATTGATATAACTGCAGCCACTGACACTGACTGCAGCAGACACATAAGATTGGCTATAAATCGGTTTTACAAAATAAAATGCGACATGCTAACGAGCGGACAAAGAGACACAAGAATGTTTTTGGAAATTTTTTTTGTACGTTATTATAATTATTACATACAGTATTATTATGGTTCATCCCATCAAAATCGAACGCAGTATGTACCTAATTTCGGCAAAGCAACGCAGAGCCAGTTAGTTGTCATAATAAACATGAGAACTCGTACAATAATATGGTGTGCAAATATCACGTTAGGGCGTTCTGATACATAATTATTCGATTTCGAAATCCCCAGATTTCTGCGGTATCGATAAATTTAGATTAGGAAGTTCCTGCTACAGTAAATTACCGTAATACCGCACATTTTCAACTCCGTCGTCTTCAAGGTTTCCAGGAATTTTTTCGACCATTTCCCCACGCTTTTAATTGTGATCTTTATCTTACTACTTTAACCAACTACTTATGTATACTTTACTGTGATCTTTATCCATGTATTGCGTATGCACTGGTAACGCCATCTTACAGTACACAACAAAAACAAGTGCGCCTCCCATTACAGCCAAAAAGTTGCCGCAAGATGGAACGGCGAACTAACTTCCGTGACGTAACCATGACGGCTGCGTGTTGGCGGTAGCCGGCGGCGGGATGCTGATGATGGTAGTGACAATGGCAACGTTGGTAATGCATGTGGTGTAATATGGCAGTCGCGGCAAATTGGCTGGTAAGTTGTTTTTGTAAAAAAATTTGTAACGTGACTGACTTGTGCTAACAAGCCCAACCTCGGCCTCCGGCCTCGGTTGGGAAACTGTAGCATTGAATTTTGATTATTGTTTTATTTTTTATAATTGTTAATAATGATTATGGAATTATTGATTAGCAAACTTTACTGTAATATGACGAACTACTACCCCTCTGCATATCCGGCGAAAATCCTTACCCTTGTGTCTGACCGACGAAAAACCCACCCTCATGTCTAACCGGCGGAAATCCTGCCCCTTTGTCTGACCGGCGAAAATCCCTACCCTCTGTCTAATCGGACGAAATTCCTACCCCTCTGTCTATCTGGCGAAAATCCCTGTACCTTAGTCTAACCGGCGAAAATCCCTACCTCTCTGTCTATCTGGCGAAATTCCATCCCCTTTTGTCTGACCGGCGAAAATCCCTAACTCTCTGTTTAACAGGCCGCAATTTTGTGCTGCTGTGTCCGCATACTAAACTTTCTCTTGCGTATTGACTTTATTCTAAAACCATCAGAATGCCAAAATTTCCACCTGAAACAATGAGTAAATGCGTCCGCTTGCTAAAATGTTTTTAATTTGACATGGTTTTTTTTAATTGGTGATCATGCGTGTTGACTGATCAATCGGTTTTCGAGCCAATTATTATAATGACCGATTTTTATCATTATCAGTATTATTATTAATTATTGTTATTTGTTTATTTCTAATAGTAGTGTTTATTATTCCTTGTTTATAAGTATTACTTTTTTGTTTTCAAAATTGAGTGCAGAACGTTATTTTGTGTTACAGGAATAATATTTCCAGTTAAAAGTATTGGTTATTAAAATTGTCGATAAAACTATTATAAATTATAAAACTACGATAAAACTATTAGTTTACGGAACCGGATAAGCAACAATGGTATGGCGAAAGTCCAGCCTGATGCAGCGAGTGAATGTCTGCATAATGAAATTTGTTTCTTGTGCTGAAATGAATTTATGGGGAAATGGAAGAGCACCAAAACACTAGTCTTCTAATAATCAGTAGAGTAATTAATTATCTAAATAATAACCAATAATAAAAGTAATTCACTCAACAAATAATTCTTTCTCTACTAATAATCACTAGCATACCGCGAATTGTTAAATATAAGATTGTCACATGCAAAAAACCGAAGTCACTGTACAAATAAGAAGGAAAATTACGCAGTTAATTTCACGAAATGTGGTGTTTGCAACTTCGAAGTAACGTTCTAACAAAATCTAATACGCAGTAATGATTTTTGCGATTATACGTAAGTTGCCCGTTGCCGTACAGATAATCACGTTATACTGTTGCCCTTTCCTCTTTCCGCCAAAAAAATGTTAATGTACTATCGATCTGCCAATTACAAAATTTCGACAAACAGGAGTATTAAACTTTACCGATTACTAATGCACCGCAGTTTTATGCCCCAGTTATATGCTATGCTGTGTCAGCAGTTTCTGTTCGAAAATATACGCATTTCCGCCAATCCGATAATAATACTTTAGGATAAGCCAATCAACGAAATTCGTTTTGGTAATGTTTCGTAATTCGAAGAAAGAGAAGATCGAAAAATTAAAGTTGTAGGGACAAACTACAGGAATTTAGTATATTTTTAAGCTATCGAGCGAAATTCAGCGCCGAACGGTGTTGGAGGAAAAGGGAGAAAAAAACCGGCGAAGTTAGCTTTGTATATATAATAACGACACAGGTATGCAGAACGCGTTGCTATGGTGGCTAGCGGTCGGTTATGAGCCATATCCGGCTTCCGCTGCTGTAGCACAATCGATAATCTCTGAAATTCCACAATTTGCCGCCTGAATAAAGTTACCAGATATAGGCTCCCTGTAAGAAATCCTACGGAGCATACGCATTATGCAGGCACCAAGTCGGCGTTAGCGGAGGATCTAGACTGCAGATACATATCAATATTACCAATGTCTTTGGAACGGAGCACGTTGTCGGGGTACTTTAATTAATGTGGTTTTTACTTGTAAGTACAGTAACTGTACCGCCCGTATTCCGTGCGGGCCAGAAACAATTAAAAATTTCAAAACATCAGGCACAGAGATCGCGATAATTAATAAGTTGCACAGCTGCAACTGGACCCATGATTATCCACAACACCGATATTTCGTTGACCGCCACAATGTCTACCGCCATTACGTCGACCGTCTCGAGGAGGACGGCTAACGCAACTACCTAAGAAACCTAAGAAAATCTAAGAAACTTAAGAAACCCTAAGGAAAATTAAGAAACCTGGGAAAGCTAAGACAGTTCAGCGAAACGCTAGTTCGGCGTCGTCACGCGTCGACAGCGTGTCTCTTCAACTTAGTAATGCAGGTCGACGACTTTTCGTCGACGAAATGACGGTCACCTTACCGTGCGAACACGTAACACAGTTGCTCTCCGATACGGTCGGTATTCGAGCCGAGTCGTGCGTGAGTCGTGCCTGATAAGTGTTATGTTATAATACGAGTATTATTATGATATTATTATAACATACGTATATATTAACAAAATATGTTATTATTAGCCAGAATATCGTGCAGTTGCGGTTGCGAACTTTGGTGCACCTTAAATTCTCAACCGGTTCTTTAAGGTTTTCGGTAGTCGAAGATATTTACCAGAATCACGCGCAGATACCGATACAATATAGTATATACAGTACAAGCCCGATTCTGCATAGTAGCACTGGTCCGTGTGTGTGTTCTCCCTACCGCTGGAATCTGGATGTTAACATCAGGGGACGAGATCGGCCTAATTTATTACATGAACGACCAAGATCTTGAGAGTGTTTGCAACTTGGCATCCACGGATCGGTTTGTACATCGGTGTCCGTGTCTGCCATTCCGCTTAATTATTCCCGCGGCCACTTACGCGGTGACCTTTTTCTGTACCATCTGCGCGTTGCGTACGTGACGTCATGTGTTGGTATACGCCCTTATCGACAACGTCATACCGTTGCTCGTTGTGTTGATCCATGCAACGCACTCGAATCGTCATGTTAATTAAGGCAGGGCAGCGCTGTTGACATTAATTTTCAGAAAAAACAAAAAATAATTTTCATGATGACGCAGAACCGTCAACTGCTCCATTACTGCGTATTACTGCATTATTAAATAAGGAATTTTTTGTCGTACTCCGAAATACGGTGCCTGTGAGATTCTGGCGATTATCTGAAGAGTAAACGATGAGGGTCTAGCATGAGCGACGAGGAGGACGCGGGTAACACGAACGACAACAACGAGGACGCGGGCGCGACCAACGACAACCAGGGCGACACTTTTCGCCAACCAGATTCAGATTTTGCGTATGCCACACTTGCCCATCCGGTGACTCAGTCCATGGTGCGTCGTACTCTTTTTAATTTTTACACTGTTAAAAATGGCGTACATATGGCTTATAAAACTAATATGTAACAGTAAATATACTGGAAAAACTGTATTAACTTTATTCCACTAGCGCTAACCTTTCCTAGTCTTATGTTGCATGAATTATATACTAGTATAAATATTCTTTTACCGCTAATTTAGTAAATACTAGACCTCATGAACATTGAACATGTTTTTGCAAACAAAGCATGCCAGCGTGATTATTTCAGCTTACGAGTACTTCTAAAGCAGCTGTGCTTATTATGAACGATTTCCACTGTATTCAAATTCGGTTTGTTTCGGTTAAATTGAACGTTTCAAGTACTGTAATAGGCCATACAATCTGTCTTATGTTAGAAAACTAAGAAAAGTATTTGATCTAATATCTGGAACATTTATTCGATTAATACATGTAACTGTATTCAGCGTGTTAATATTATTTTTGAAATAAATAACTGAAAGTAATTCACTTTTTATTGATTTTTATTCTGCTGAATCTGATCGCATGCATTATACTGTGTCTCCGGTTGTGTAGGACGAAATGGAATCCAACGTGCACACTGCCTTTATCGCCTGGTGGATAATCCTGCTCATCGTGCTGGCCATAACCGTCCTCATCCCGCTGATTATCGTCTGCATCGTCTGCTACCGCCGCAAGAAGCACGGCACGGTGCAGGGCGTGGTGGTGTCGGGGGCGCCCGGGGCCTACCCCGTCGGGCAGGCGGCCACGGTGACCTATCCGCCGGCGCCGTACCCGTACCCAGCCTACGGTTACCCGGCAACCGGCGCGCCTCCAACCGCTCCACAATCGCCACAATCGCCACAACCGACGCCACCGGATCCCGCGGCGGCTGCCCCGCCGGCGCCTCCCCCGACGGCCCGCAAAACGCAGTAAACGGTTGACCTTTACCCGATGATCAACGCATCTGCGCGCTAGCTGTCGCGGTTATAATTAAAGCTCTGTGTCATTTAATTGCCTATAATTGTGTGTGACCTTTATGCGATCGATCCTTCCAGCAATGATAAAAACTACTGCCGCATAAATTATTTTCTATGTAATTGTCGTATTGATACACACTTCTTTTACTTGTAGCACTAGTATTTATTTGTCAGATTAATAATTAGTATTTTTAGTCATATACAATTATATTGTTAATACGTGTTAACGTTTATATCAGCCGCACTGTCGCATTTTGCAATCATTGTTGCATTGTGCTAATTTTTTGTGTCATGTCGACGGTACAGTATATTCTGTTACTATCCCTTAACACCGGAAACAGATCAATTTCATTATACACTCTACAGGATGATTGCTAATACCATTGCACAGCTTAAAAAAAGAGATCCATGTCAACCGATCCATTACACACCGGCGACCGGCGTTTGCAAAAGCACAACGGATGTTCTTCGTATATATAAGCATTTTCTACAGCTGTACATCGTCGGGTTGGAACTGGTGTACGGTGTTCTTGGGTAAGGCACTGCTGGGTGTCAGAGACGCCGGTCGGTCGGGGGTGCCGCCACCACCGGCCGCCGCGGAACTCACCCGCGACCGCTGCGGACTGGAGTGCGCGGCCGGCAGGGAATCCAGGCTGAAGCTGAGGTGGTCGTCGCTGGCGCTCAGTGTCTGCGTGGTGCTGCTGGCCCGCCGCAGCAGACTGCTGAAGGAACCGCCCAGGGTGGAGCGTTTGTCCTTCAGGTCCGGCGAGAGGAGGTTGGCGTCCTTCAGATTCCCTGCAAAGGTCACGCCACTGATTACACTGTTAAAAATTTTAGTCTACATTATTGATTATACATACTATAAAAAAATCGTTCATAAATAAATAGAGAATGTAGTTAGGTGATAAAATTATTAGCTTAGTAAAACAAAATAAATAATTTTGATACGTTATTTACAATATCACTGAATCACTGGGTGCGGTATAAGTGTGATTTATGGTTCTTGACACTGGTTTGTACCGGCAACCGTAAAGGTCACCGGAGCCGTTAGCGTTTTTTGTTTTCCAACCGGTTTTTTTTGACGCGCCGGCTTTTGTAAATGCCGGCCGAGAAAAGGTCACTCGAAAACCGTCTTTTTAAGGGTTGCGTATATGTTTTGATTGATGTGTGTATAAATTGTTCATATTCTGGCGATGATGGTCGCTGCAAACGTACCCGTGGAGAGGTTAACCGACTTCCCGTTCTTCTTCAGATTATTAGCAAAAGGCTTCAGCTCGGAATCGTCCAGCGCCGGCCCGGGGCACTTGAGCAGGTTGAGCTTCATTTTCTCGGCCTGCGCCGGCTCTTTCAAATTATTCACCGTCTTGCCGACGTCGTTGCTGTCCCCCGCCGCGATGGAGCTCTGACTGGCCCCGCTGCCGGTGTGGGATATCAAGGAGGTGGTGTTGGTCTTGGTGGCGTTGTACTTGGCGCCGCTCATCATCAGCGACTGCCGGACATTCCGCTCCGGATGGAAGAGGATGATGTAGACTTTCGGCGCGAACAGACAGATCAGCGACACTGTCCCGCTCAGGCTGATGGAGGCGCACAAGGTGGTGATGCGCAGCGGGATGTTCGTCGCCGTACTGCAAACAACGCATATATATGCATATCTTTCTTTGGTTTTTATTTTCGGCTTCCTCTAGTAGCTCGGCACAAAACGATATGCTCGTACAACAAAAAAGTTGAAAATAATTCTTGGTAATTATGTTGAAATTAAAAAAGTTTTGACTTTCAAAAAAACTTTTTTAATTTTTTAATGTTAGTTTATTTAGAATTATATGCGTAACTACATATCCGAGTGCTCTTTTCGAGCAATGGAAATCAAGTGACAATAAATATTTAATTAAGAACGGGAAACTAAATACATAAAGTGAAAAATTTGAGCTACTGACATGAGTAATATTGATTGATCAAGCAGTTTCAGTACGAAAGTAACAATACCAATACCATACGGAAATACGCAAGGTGCCTTTATACTACAGTTTAATTCATAACTGTGCTGCCATTGGATGCAGACTCATGCAGTTAACTGCAGTAAATATTTCTGTAATAGTCTTTATATTTTTCAGAGTTTGCCGAAAATTTTTACAAATCTAATTAAAGCATACAACACTCGTATAACATCAAGAAGCGCAAAAAATTAATTTAATTTAATTCTTGGCATCCTCTGTAGTTCACTAGGGTAGCCAGCCATTCGCAAAGTATCGCGTCTACTGTCTACATGATAACCAGCTTAACGATGTATGCTTCGATAAGTTGTATGCGTTGTCGTCGCACATTACAAGCAGCGAGCCGTCTTTCGCTTTCTGTGGTTATTTCTCACTGTTTTCCACCCAAAATCGGCATTGTGCGACGTCAATAAATTTTAGTAATTGAAATACCGATTTTAATCACAAGCGTATTTGAATATCCTTTTTAACATACACACAAATGCAGAAAAGTGGTACTTTGGAAGATATTCAACGTGGTTGACGCTAGCGCAGCTGACCTGAAGAAGATGGGGACGAAGGCCAGCCAGATGATGCAGGTGGTGTAGGTGGTGAAGCCGATGTGCTGGGACTCGTTGAAGGCCTCGGGGATTTTGCGGGTGAGGACGGCGTAGACGGTGCAGATGATGAGCAAGAGAATGGGGTAGCCGAAGGCGATCATGTACGAGGCGTCGATGTGCGACCGGCACACCAGCACGTTGTCCTCCCGCGTCGGGTAGTAGAACTCCGCCGCCGGCGGACTGTACGCCATGTACACGATAATTATCACAATCTACACACACAAAACAAAACTACACTTGTCACCGGTAAAGAAACACTATTTAACTCCGATTTTCCCACGCCATGTTACTGTTGGGAACTTGTTCCGAAATTAATCGCAAATTAATCTATTTTATTATTATTGACCAGCTGGTAAGGAAACTAAGTTTTGTGTAAAAATACAATCTGACCGCGGTTTTCTCACGCCAAAGCAATGCTGGGAAAATATCCCGAAATTAATGAAATAAATCTGTTTTAATATTGTTGACCGCTGGTGAGGAAGCTAGCTGGGTGAAGGGTTAATGGTCAACGATCAACGTTGGGTAACGGGTACCTGTATGGAGACCAGGCCGGCGCAGATGATGAGCTGCGAGCGCGGACTGATGAAGTTTGGCCGGCGCGCACTGCGCTTCCCGGCTTGGAAGATGCGCGCGATGCGGTTGGTTTTGGTCAGTAAGGCCGAGTAGCAGATGGCGAAGCAGATACCGATCCCGAACATCTGCACGCCGCAGACCACCGCGCCCGGTTTGAGCAATAAAAATCCAGTCATACTAAGAAAAAAATCTACAGTAAATACCATAAATACAAAAAACAATAAAAAATATTTGACAACTAAATTCTGACATTCTATAAAAATTTTGTTATAATTTCTATTATTTATTATTGAGTTAATTATACGAGTAACGAAATCAATTTAATTAATGTGCGGAACGAATTTACTAGAAGTGATGTTGCATTTTCAGATGTTTAAATTGTGTGTGCCGGTTTTATTTAATACTGTTTTAATCGAAGCTGTATTTTTCTGGAAATTTTCAGACTCTGGCCGAACCTGTAGCAGAGCATGATGCCGGCGAGGAGGACGTAGCTGAGCTCCCGGCCGGATGCCTTGACCACGGTGGTCTGGTTGAATTTGAGAAAGACGACAATCACCAGGATGGTCAGGGCCTCGCCCAGACAGGCGAAGATGGCCACGCCCACCGCCCAGTACGAATCAAAGGACAGGTAGTGCGAGGCGATCTCGTAGCAGCCGGTCTTGTTGGGGAGCGGCAGCCGGCCCGGTCCGCAGTCGATGCACTCCGACTCCGACGCCAGATACTGGTAATCGCTGCAGTTCTACACGAACAAAAATACAAAAAAAATACGGTATATACAGCACAGTGTATACATTAACAATAATGCTTAATAACTGGTTTATTGTTCTTTGCTACGCCTCGTTTTAAGCTAAGACAGAAAATTCTGATTAAGAGAGAAAAAGACAAATAAGAAGCGTGTCATCATGACAGTAACCAAAGACGCAAATTTATGATGTTTGTGATGTGTTTATTTGGGAAAAGAAAGAAAGATACGAGCTTCAAGCATATTCGTTCGATTTAAAAATTTAAGCAGCTTTGGGGCAGTCAAAAAAAGCGTGATGGTAAGAAACTCGTTCACACTTTAAAACACTACTCGTATGGTCGTTCAAGTGAAACAGTATGATAAGTGAACAAGCGATGGTCGTTCAAGTGGAACACCCGAAATAAATAATTCCCCAATCCGATTTTCTTCCAGTTTTTTTCTTCATCCAGTTAAGCAGGATTTACTCTTTACAGAGTACTTGAAATTTTTAAAAAAGCTTGAACCATTTTCTTGCAGTTGCGTCGTAAAGAAATCAGTGACGAAAGCGGTTTAGCCACGCCACATGAGTCACTGCACTAAGCTTACAAAATTGGAGTCACCACCGTACTTTGGCGGCTGCGCCATCGCCGATTTAGAGGCAGATTTAGAAAAACTCTAATTCAGTTTAAAGACATCGACTTTCAGAAATGAAGAAAACACTTAAAGTAAATATAAATAAAGCTGAACTAAATTAATTTCTAACACTGCGATCGCGCAGCCTCTTCAGCAGCAAAATAGCTATTAATCAGTAATTATTTTCCAAACATCAAATACACATACATAATTTTTGCAGCTTTTAAATATTAATTTTTGTATCAAACGTTATTAAAAATATGTGGGTGTGCTGAAAATGATAAAATGAGTTCGAATAAGGACAATTCGTACCACGCATGTCCAACAACATTTTCGCTCGGGATTGATGTTCTTAGCCTGACCCTGCGCACAGGGCTTCCCGCACACTGACTCCGGTTTCTGCTCGGCGCCGGTTATCCTATCGTTGAAACGCACTTCCGGCCAGTCCAACCGCAAGCCTCTCTTGTCGTATTCTCCGACGTTGACCTTTAACATAATTCCGCCATCAGCACTTTATATATACGTAACCATCATTTAGGTGACCTTTACCTCGATAAAAACTGAAATACTTGACATACGTATGTCAAAAAACATTTTTAAAACGCAGATTTATGAAACAGGAAAACCGAGAAAATTCCGCTCACCCATCCCCATTGCGGCGGATCGAGATTGGAAAGGCGTTTAAAATGCACGATATTATAGCGCGCCGGTCCGTCGCCCTGCTGATCGAACTCGAACTCATCCTTGGTCAGCCCGACAAACTTGACCTTTCGGAGATAGCGCAGCAGCGCCGCCCCGTCGATCGGCTGCATTTTGGCGCAGAGTCCCGGCCGGCCGTGGCAGAGTTCCTGGTGCATCAGGTGCAGAGCGTGTGCAAAGGCCATTACTCTGCAATATACAAAAATATATAAATATAAAGAATAAATAAACAAAATTACAAACTAATCGAATAAAAAAATGCGAAATTTGAATTTATTTAATGGCGGTGCTTAATCAAAAACAACACGGTGACGTACGCGTCGCTGACGAACTGCAGCTGCGGTTCCAGCTGCATTTGAAACGGTCCGCTGGGCTGGTACTCCTCATCACCGGTGCACTCCGTTTCCAGGTGGGCGTTGTTGGGTGTCAACGGGGAATCGATGAATTTGCACTGGAACATGTCTTCCCAATATTCTAGAAAAATTTTTTAATTTGTAATGTTTCTTTCATACAGGCACACCGACTATGTTCATGGCTACAAATAAATCCTAATCGAGAAAACTTGCAGTACTCTGTATATTTATACATGTATAGGTGCATATTTAATTGATGCTATAGCTTTAAGAATCCACTAATCGAGATCTCTCCGGCAATTGATTTCTGGGAGTTGAATGCTGGACGTTGTGCAAGATTTCTGGTTCTGATCGTTGTCATCGCTGTATTTAATATCATTTCGGAGAATAATTCAGCAAAGGGATAACAGTGCAATAGCAGTAAACTGCGGTATTTGTCCCGTACCTACTCGTACTAGTTTTAGCCCAAGCATTTTTTAGACAAGAAAATCGTAGTACAACGGCTTTTGCCTTTATTTGGCGAATTTACTATGAGTGCGTTCGATTTCTTCGTAATTAAATAAAATAAAAAACGTTCTACACTGAGACCTAATTATTTTTAGAACAAATAAAACTTGAAAGAACTAATTAATTTTATTATTGATTTATTTTCTGAATTTTTTGCGGTAGTAACTGAAATGAATTTTGACCATCAATGACCATTTAAAGCTGCTGACCATTTAAAGCTGATGAATAAATGGTCAACATTAAAATTTGAAAATGTTCGTAACGGCAACGAATCTAGAATGCGAGTCAATAATTGATCAAATGCGCGGGGCATTTCCCATAACTGTTTACAATGTGTAATAAAGGTCATCATATAGAAAATTTGCTGACCGGCGCAATTTGTTTAATTTATTTATTTGTTTAATTTGACAAGGTATGTTGAAGGGAGATGAGGACTAACCGACGAACCAGGGGTTGCGCTTGTTGTTGTAGACGGTGAGCTGTTTGAAGTAGTGGTCGAACTTGTCAACAGGGTGCGCCATCGGCTGGAAGGAGAGGGTGCCCTCCACCTGCGGCTCACTGCCATCCGACACCTATCAACACATCCACATTGTGTCAGCCGCTGATCCGCTTACCAATTTCCCTAACGAACACCGTGACACCAACGTGTAATACGAGGAGTTATCGGGTATACACCAGTATATGCCGGGAAAAATTTCTGTGACTATCAAACAAACTTTAGCACGTTGTACAGTAGTTGAGGATGCTCTAAGCGCGATATACGTTTCCCCTTAAATTCCTCTTGAGCGTACGATGTCGTTCAAAAATTGGTTGTTCGGGTCGTTGTCACCACTGTTTACTTTCGTACACTTTTATAAAGAAAAAAGGTTATGCAGTAATAGTAAATTACACTGAAAACATTGAATTTCGCGGTTTGCCGTATTGACATCATCGTTGAAAAAGCGTTGCGAAAGTCAAAGAAAACGTAGTATTGTGGCTTGTTGATATTGCGTACCTAGCCCCAGTGTACACTGACACCGATGTTGAGCATCTCGCGAAACTGTAGATTTATGTAATTTTCGTAATTGGCATTTTTTCCCGAAATATACGTGGGCGTTTTTAAACTGGAGTCAACCTTTCTCAAAAAGAAATGCTAACTCAGATAACACTTAACAGTGACCCGTTTACTGGACATCTTTTTGGGAAAACATTTTTTTAAAAATTAAGCAAACCATCAGAGACAACCATTTTTTTTAAATTAAGCCATTATCGCGCTTAATAGAGCGTTTTCGAGGCTTTAAGCACTAAATATACAAAGGGGGTTTTCAGATGATTTTTAAAATTAATAATTCATGTTTTGTTTTCTTGGCCCATCCCCTCTTTTTTTATAAATATATTTTTATATATTTTTTGCCATTTGGTTAACCCACTGACGCCCATTGGTGTTGGGGCGCAACAGGGTCTTCAAAATGTTTTTCTTAATGAACAAGAGCAATTAACCACTATCTGATAGCGTAATTAGCGTTACGAGACCTTACAGCAGCAATAAAAAAACAAACCAAACTGGCATCCAAAGTCCCTCAAGAACCACGAGGTCGCGAACGTCGCTAATTTCGAACTTTCTGACCTCCCGAAAGTCCTGATAATTAACTAATTAGTCACTAAGTCAATTAATTTGAGATAATTCAGTAATGTACTATCAGTGATGCTTTATTAAAAAATAACAATTATCGGTTCTGAAAGTTAAACAGTGGATGGCCACAGTCCATCGAAAACTCGTGTTGCGTGCAGACACCATTGGGCATGTATGGTCCTGAAGTACGGGCGGGCGCAATTGCGACACTTTTATAATTATGTAAATCGGATAAGGTCTTGTTGGTTCGGTCTTCTAACATGCTGCACATGGTTCTGCTTGCCAGAACTTTGGCGTTGGAGGGTTAACCGCCATGTTCCTGCATTGATGCGCAATTTGAATACTGTTATTCCAGACAAAAATAACCTAAATTGTTTTTTTAAAAATAAAAATAAATTTTCGGCATGCAGTATGCATAAGCCAATAATGTTTATGTGCAAGACGTTGTATGATGAATCTATAATTAAAAAGCCTACAAAATAAATTGCGTTCAGTCAACACTTACCACCGGCCGTGCACTCCACCCATCCGACCCGATCCAGGTGAACCATCCCGTAGCATTCCGGCGTCGAATCGAGCGCATCAGCTCGGCCACCTCCTGATCCGACCCGTACACAATAACCCCTGCACACACCCATCGTATTACTTTCACCGGCACTCAACGCGTTTCTTAGTGTTTTTTGCACGCGTGACCTTTCGCTTCCGGTGTCAGTTTGAGCCGCTCCACCAGCTCGTCATAGTGCCGCTCCCCGGCCTTCCCGGAATCCTTGGGGAGTTTCTCCCGCGCTGCCAAGCAGATCTTGTTGTCTTCCAGCAGCTGCTGTAGCGCGGCGAAGGCCTGTCGCACGGGCACAATCAGCGCGCTGTTATTAACGAGATTAGACGGCGGCATTTACCTGGATTCCGTAGGCGGATTCCTCGTAGATGATGGAGATGTACGTCCAGTTCAGCAGCTTCACCAGATCCACCATGGCCCGGGTCTGGTTGGCGTCCGAGGGGACTGTGCGCGAGAAGTACTCGAAGCGGTCTTTATTGCTCAGTTCCGAGCTCGTCGAGAAAAAACTGATCTGTAATACAGTATTGATGATTTTGCTGGTGTTGCTGTTGTATTTATTGCCCTAACGATAAGCGCGTTATGAAGACTTGCAAATACATAATATGTAATTTAAGTGGGAGAAGCTCTGGATTTATGTTTAGTGACTCGTGACGTCGTTAGGATCAGATAATATATTTACTATATTTTATTTATTCAACCCCACAAATTAATTTTGAGCACTGTGTAACGGGAACGTTCATAAAATCAAAAGAAACTGATAACTAAATTATTGAAAACACGATTATGTAGCGCGAGTGAAAAAATGGGTTGAAATAATTTGCATTAGCTGATGATTGTTAGACACTGAACGACGTTTTGGGTTCTTGACAGTGCCTTTGCACTACGTTTTACGCCGTACTGCCGACAAAAGTTACCTACGTGCCTTCTCTTTTGGTGTCACTTTTCGGATTACTTTTTATTACTATTAAATTTCCAGTAACGCGATTTTATTTTATTAATGCATCCATTTTTATCGGGCAGCGTACCTGCGGGATTTTGAAGAGCCGCAGCAGATTGGCCACCTGGATGGACGTCACACTGCTGGCGGCGCCGATGACGCCGGGGATGACCTTTACCGCCGGTCCACTGGGCGCGTTGCCGTCCGTGCAGCGGTAGGCGCCTTCGCCGTTCAAACTGGAAATCGAACCTGCAAAAACCACCATCCATTCTCATATATACTCTTGCATCTGCTATAACCAATTAATTTTACTACAGCGTATTTTTTCTACTCCTAATCATTATGGCCGTTTCCTGAACGTATTTACTTGCAGCTTAAGTATCGCCTCACTTGTTTCCGGCGCAATATACGTATATATTCGACTGATAAATTTGCCGGTTCGACTAAAAAAAGGACGTTGATGAAAGCGAGTACAATCCGCGGGCGTTTGAGTGATACATGCCGGGGTAGTGATTAATTATTGCGCCGGTGGGTAATTAATGGGAGCTGACAATCCCATTAGCCACTCTTCTCTGGATCGGCGCCAGTGGCCTTCTGAGCAGCGGTTGCGTCACGGCCATGCAATATATATAAATGTACATTTTGTTGGCCCGGCTGCGCATGGGAGTACAGGCCGTGGATGGAGCCCGGCAGGCATTAATTACGGGACTCATTTGGGCATTAGTCGGGCCTTGTCAGTGCGATACACCGATGATTATAGAGACCCGGAGAACAGCGTGACATGCATCCGGCTTCCGGCTGCTTTTAATCCCTTAACACTCCGTCCAACGGCCGACACGTACATGTATACGACAACGCCAATTCTTATCATGTACCAAAATGTTTTTTTTTATGCACACAGTAAAATCGAGAAAATTAAATAACGAATGAAAATACGTTACGTAGAATAAATTGCGAATTCAATACAGGAAAATAATATAATTTCTGATTGTAGATCTTTCCTTAACACTCAAGTTACTGCCGAGTCGCCGACATGTACACGACAACGCCAATTCTTGATGTACACAATGGAAAAACGTCTTTTAAGTACTAATTACGCGCATTAAATTACAAATTAAATACAGCGAATTTTTGTTTTTACTTCTAAATGCGCATTAATTATAGATTAAATACATATTTGTTGATATATTGTTGCAGATACTTATAGTAATTTAATAATCAGGAAAACATTAGTAATTTAATAATCAGGAAAAAATAAATACTCTGTATTCTAACTGACGGAACATCAACCGGATATTAATTTTTTCACGTGCACAACCAATGTATGCTCCCGCCTACTGCCCGTGCACTACGGTCTTCTTCATAATTTCTTTCCGCCATCGATAAACCAAGCGTTTTATAAACTGTCCTGCATTTACCATGTAAATAAGACAGAATTTTTTACGATTGCTTTTATAATTAAAAAAATTTATAGTTTATGCTACACCTTTGAAGCTCTGCCTGATACAATCACAAGCAGTAATGCTGTCAAATTTCTGTGGATTTTTGGGCGTAGTAAAGCGCGCATTAACAAACAGCATGTTTCTGTTTTCTTTAAGGAAGAATTCAGTTGATTGACCCTTTGATATGCACTTAAAAAAACACGCGTCCGCCCCCACCATGTCCGCCGTTCCCGGTGATCAAACGCAGTACGCGATGGTGTGGCAGCACTGTATGCGATTATGGATCGTCAATTCGCACTTAATGTTGGCCTTTTACATGCGCACTGCCCATCAGCGTACAGCAGCCGTTGGAGCGGAATCAATACAACATCTATATAACGGGCGGACAACTTAATGAACTTTCCCATATACGCGAACGTTGTTGCCGGAAAGCACAGCTAATCGAGCTGCACAGTGGCGGGATGTTGTCAGGCACGGGACACCCGACGAGCGGATACGGATATGAAGGAGACCCGCCATATGCGTACACAGACAAGCAAATTAAACAATCCACTTTCTTCTATACAGAGGAAAACACGGCCGGCTACCCCGGCATTTATACGGGGATTTTCGACTTTTCTAGGGTTGACCGTTGCGTTTCCGGTGGTTTGATTAGTGCTGTACAACAACACCATCGATTGTGTATTTTTCCTATAATACCCACACTGTGGAATGTGTGTATACTTATGTATATGTTTATAGAAGATCGATGCATGGGTTGGAATTTATTCAAGATGTGCATTGACCATTGCCACACTTAATGCCATCTGTTTACGCTACTTTGTCCACTATGTACCGATTAAATAAATTCAGTATCATGTAGCGGATCGAAGGCGCAGTGGCAAAAACCTTTTTAATAAATTACCGCTTCAAGTTTTTTTAACATTATGATGTGTTACATCACTGCGTGCATGGATAGGGCTTCTGAAAAATCGGGTTGATATTTTATTAGCTGGAGATGCCAATGTTTTCTTTCAGGACGGGAAGGGAGCATTAAAAGTTTTCCCAAAGATTTTTTGGTTACAAAAAAATAGCGTTTAACAAACTGACGAAATAGCGTTAGCTGACGAAGGATTAAAGCAGACTTAGGAAAAAGAACAGAAAAAGTGAAGGCCTGAATTAACAAGCAAATGTTTGCATACAGGCAGGCAGCCACTACAGAATTCTACAGCGAACTGAAATAAGCTAAGTGTGCCTCTGCACTACGGTTTTCTTCATTTGTGCTTTGCTGTTTTATTTTTATCGTACCGTGCGTGTATGTGTTTATAGGGCAGCGTCATGCGGGGAAGTTATTCAAAATGGGCACTATTTATTCACTAACAATTGGCCACACTTAATGCCATCTGTTTACGCTACTTTGTTCACTATGTACCGATTAAATAAGTTCAGTATAATGCAACGGATCGAAGCGGCAGTGGCAGACATTTTTTTTAACTTTTTCCAACTTACGAATCGCGTTTCTGTTTTATTAACTCGTCACGCGAGTTTCGCTACGAGCGCAGAAATTTTAATTATAAAATTAATTTATTTAGCCCAACGATTTCGCTGTTTTGAATTACAAGAGAAGTTCAAAAAAGAAGGTTAATCTGATAAGAAATTAAAGCAGAATTATAAAAAGTATAAAGATAAGCGTTTCCGTTAACTGACGGCCAATAATTATAATTAGTATTTGTGCGTACGCAACCAAACCGAATTGACGCTACTGTGCCTCTTCACTACGGTTTTCTGTACACTTTAACTGGCTTTTCGCTTTCTGTAATTAATCTTCTAATTCTTTTCCCAGCCGAATTATATGCTTTCAACGAAAAAATTCTATTTATACAGTGATTTATTTTTATCATATGTTAAAACAGAAAAGCGGCATGCGGCCGATATTTTGTGTGTTTGTGTTGGTTTGCTGGCGGGGAAGCGGCAGCCGGCACCCGGCTGTGCCGGTCCATTATGCGGGGCAGTCGGGGCTGAATGGGCCGCAGCGGATGTGTAAGAACAAATACATGCACCCGGGGATTGTCTTTTCTCATGCATCTGAATACAACACTATATATACGATAAAACATCAACGGAGAATGTTGCGTCGCGGCGGCACAGCACAATTATACTCGAGTTAGACGCGCAGCGGAGCGTGCCGGACCGATATACAAAACGTCCCCCCTGTTTCGCTGGACGGGCCACTCCATCTTCCCGCGCCATTGACAGCCACCCGGCGCTTTCGTCCTCATGATCTGCTCCACCACAATCGCGCCATCACTTTACATTTATTTATTAATTTTTTTCAATAGGTTCTGCTGCGTAATTTTGGCTGTTCTTAAAATTCTGTGCATATAATTTTGGTGAAGTTATTTTATATGGGCTTCTGAAAAAATTATACAGCCATTTAATGTTTTGCATGGCGGAAATTTCCACTATCTATTCTTGGTCCATTTATTAATTTCTGAATTTTATTCCGCATTTTTGGAATACTATTAAATGCCGAATTTAACCGCTTTTAATTTAGTGATCATTATTTTTAATCTTAACTTTTTCGGGCAATGTGCTCTTTGATGTCTGTGTAATAACCTTCTATGAAATGTTATGGTTTAACATTATATATTGTATATTTTAAATTTGCATCTACGTTTTTTTAAATTTAAATTTAATTTATTTTAGAAATATTAGCTTGAAAAAATACGTTTAAATAATGATAAACGAATATAAAATTAAAATTTCGCTGTGGTCGTTAATCGGCAACGTCTACGCTAGCTGCCGGTCCCATGGTCGGCCTATATGCCTGGGAGGCCGCTGGCGCTGGCTCGTTCTATCCACTTAGAGACTCGTAATCGTCAGATCATCGGCGCGTGAAACACTGCATCCATAATGGCATTTCCTTCGGCCGGGGCCCGACATTAGCGATGCTGCCCATTGATCGCGCAAGCCCGGCATTTTCCTGTGCACTGTGTGCAGTGACGTGCGTATTGACTAAAAGCTTCTCTGCCGGATTGCTGCGTATATAGACGCACATATATACGCCGACCGGCATCCAATGTGCTTCACCTCGTGGGTCAGCATCAAATCCCAATCAAATTATATTTCACGGACCCTTTTCCCTAATTCTATTTATTCTATTTCCCCTCTCGCGCTCTTGCAGTCGGCTTACACAGCAGAAACTCCTGAGTGGGCGGACAAAATGCCGGGCCCGGCAAAATAAGAAACTTCATTAGTGCGCCGGCGGGCGGAAAAAATGTGCCGGCGCTGTTAAAAGAGCATGATCTCTTCAAGCGATGCCTTTTTTCCCCAACCGGAAACGAGGATAATACAGGCCTAATTTATTTTTTCTGGCCAACGCAATTACTCTATTTTCACTGAAAATTTTTAAAGCGCGCGCCAAAAAAATCGGAAAAACTGGTATACTTTTAGATTTCCAGTTTTCTTATTACTGTAACGATTAGTGAGTATTTTTTTCATTTTGTGGACACTATTTTGAGCAAACTATATAAACCGATATCGTACAGTTATTCCTTCATTGCCAAGGTATTTTTAAAAATTGATTATAATTTTTTTAATGTAATAATATTTGTTTGCGTATTTATTAAAAGCCAACCTTCGTTATTGAATTTTTCTCTAATGCTAATCGCGCTTATCGGAATTTTTCGCTGCACGAGATGCAGCGTATCGAATTTCTTGGCCGTCAATATATCGCATATCATGATGCAGCTATAACCGATCCCATTTGTAGAATCAATAAAGTTGCCCAACACACACACTCGCGCGCACAACTTATGGATGAGCACGAATGTCTGTGTTTTTAGGCGGACCCCAAACGAGCTGTTGATGGGGTAATAATCGTTAAGGAAATGAAGGCAATGTCATAATATTGACTCGCTGCCGCACAAGTGGCCGCCGTGCTGGAGGGGGGACGCGGTCGTAAATGAGGCCACACCAATGGGTCATGCGATGCCGGTTATCCGGGTTCTATACTGAAAAACGTGCAACGCCCTGATCCGACTTCCGTTTGACGCAGCCGCGCATTAATGGTAGCGCGCCCAGCGCCGCTAATTACCGTCGTGTGTACATGACCTTTTAATCTCTACCGCTTATTACTAAGACAAGCAATGATTCCGGCTTTGCCCGGCGGCGGTGTTAAGCTTGATCCGGCGTTATAATGCGATGACGCCGCGCATTAACGCTCAAAACAAGAAAACTGAATAACATTGCAGCGGTGACCTTTAATACGCCGACTTAAGGTAGCTTAAAAAAGGTGACCTTCGTCGCGTGTTACTGCAAAATTACCGGGTTTTGAAGCTTAAAAGCCGGCAAAAATAAGCATGACCTTTGGCATATCCCGTAATGTAAATTTAAATTTAAATACAAATTAATAGATAAATCTGAAATTAAAAACTAAAAAATAAATAATAAATAAATTAAATAATTAAATTTTTATTTTTGTTATTTTTGAATATGTTAAATGGTTTACGCAAAAGGTCATGCGTAATATAATTCTTATGCAGAATAAAATTTCGGATAAAATTAAAAAATTGCAAACCATATACAAAAATTAAGAATTATCAATGGAAAACTGACCTTTAATAAAATCCACGGCCATCTCCAGCCCGTACGTGTCCTTATCGCAGTCATCCAGAATGTAAGCGCCCAGCGTGACGTTGGGCAGGAAATTCTGGGAGTGCTTGGCGTGGATGCCGGTGAGGTGGGTGTTGACGTAGTCGATGGTGTAGAGCATGGCCTCCATGGCCTGCACGCCGCCCTGCCGCATGATCTTGCCGCACGTGGCCTTCTCTTCGCGCTCGTGCACCATCATCAGACCACCCAGGACGACGGAGCCCTCAATGTTGGCCACCCGCTTCACCGGCCAGCTGATGTTCACAAACTCACCGGTCGGCAGCCGTACCGCCTCCAGGTTGGCGTTGCGGGGGAACCGCGAGCGCAGACTGCGCAGGAACGCTTCCGGGTGGCAGTTGGGACGGGGATGCGAGTAATGGGAATGGTTTTCTTGAGTAAAACGGGAGATTTACGTTACCAAAAATTATCACAACGAATTTGTTCGAAGCGCACTCACCAAAATATTTTAATATAAGCATTTGTCTTAATGGGTATACTACTCGATTTTGCTAAAAATGAATTTAATTTAATTAAACAAAAAATTATTAATACAAAACCATAGATAAAAATTTTGTAAAAAAGAAATTAAATTAATCTTAATTCTTTAAGCACTGATTTAATAAATCAGTAGTTTTTGCCGGATAAGTGTAGTTAAGATATTTTTTAAGCAAGAGAGCAAAGCCGGCTAAGGAAAACAGGAATTCGTGGAACGAGGGAAGTGCTGTAAAACGCCCAAAATTCCTCGCATGACTGATTAATCGAGAAAAAAAAGATCATCCTTACCGTTCCTTCCGGCTTCCCTGGAATGATGCCCCTGATTCAGTCCATCCGCCACCGGGAAGTGGTGTGTCTTGGAGCGGTGGACGGACCCCGGTGCCGGCTGCCGCCCGCGGGCGTCGACCAATCCCGCCCGCTGCAGGCTGATCATGAGGAAAATGCCGGTGAGGATAAGCGCCCTCATGGTAATGGGCCCCTGTGGGCGGGCAGGCGGTGGTGGGTGATGGGTCTCCCGCGGCCCATCACCGCTAATGGGCCCGCGCCACACCGACGACAACAACAACGTGTACAGCGGCTGCACAGGGAATTGCCGCATTTCCGCCATACGATCATTTCCGCTTCCGCTGCGCGTCGACGACGATGAGGAGCGCCGTGAACGTTAAGCGCCGCCGCTGCAGCAGCCCCCCGGGCGGCGGCGGCACCGCAACGCATCGGGTGGAGACGCGCTGGCCAGCGCGGGCGGGTGTGGTAGAGGAAGGTAAGGCGGCGTGTAATTGGGCTTGTTTAGTTGATTAAGGTCACGCGGTAGTGGCGTCTCGCCATGCTGCAAGGGAAAATTTATATAGGGACCCATATACACTTCATGTGTACAGTAATACCTTTCTTATACAGTTAAAAATTAAAATAAATGCACAATGCAAAACCGGGAATTTATTAATCTAGGGTGTTGTTTCTCTGTAGTGAATATGCCGTTGATTTACTATACATATCTCCGCGGCATATAAGGCGGAGATGGATAAATAACGGCAGAAACGCCAATAAAATATTCATCGAAATTATATGATTAAATTATGGAATTATAGCGAATTCCGGGTCACTGGATTTTCATTCAGATTACCAAATGTAAATGCTCTATGCCGTACCGTTTAATTTCAACAATTATTTGGCTTACAGTTTTATATTACAAATTAAATTTGTGGTACTGATTCTTATGGCATTGAAAAGGAAAATACAGCATTTACACACACTTACGAATGAAGCACATTGAAAATAAAATCAGAACTTTTCCATCAACTAATAGAAGAAAATTAAAAATAAATTCACAATATTTATCTTCCATTAATTTAGGTTAACGAAGGAAATTGTCGAAATAAATTTTGGTTAGGAGAGACCGTAAAGTCAGCGCGCTGAGAAATCACACGTTGCATAAATAATCGACGACCTTGTCATTGCATTGAGCCGGGTAACAATAGCGTCACCGGTCCGCGTTAGAACGCGGCGCGGTAGAATATCGCAGCATATACAGCATATGCATAATCTGAATGGCAGGTGTGCCGGGGTCGAGCGAGCGCCGGCGAGCTGTTGATGTGATGATTGGGATTAATTTCCTGGATTACGGAGATATTGGCGGATGGGGGAATATTGAGCTGTCGAGGAGAAGTGAGTGTGTATGTTGATTATCGAATAGATATTGCCGTACATATATAGAAACGCGAAAGAGCGGCAATGTTGGCCAACCTAACGCACACGATCGTGATCAAGCGGAGGGGACCTCGATATATACACTGGCTGCAGCGACGTGAGCGGAAATTGATTATAAATACATTGTGTACATTGTGGCTGAAGGGGAAGAGATTATTAACCCGGGACCGGCTGGTTGGCAAACCAATATACCATCTCCACACACTGGCATACCGTATGCTGTGTGTATGTACACTTTCGGGCTCAAGTGGACAGCCGTGCCGGAGCGTCGTTAATGCGCTTGTAGTGGCGGATGCTGGCGACTTCCTCGCCTCCGTTCAGCAGTGCCGGTTGAGGGAAAAATTTCACGGCACATGTGTGCAAAAATTCGATAGGAAAAAAATTCGTTAATTAATTCTCACGATAACCTAATTCTAAATTTTGTAGTTGGTGTCGTAATTCCAGATTTATAAATACTGTTGCATGTGAAAAATTATTACGGGGTATATATTTATTGCATAATTTTATCTAGTAATTATTCACTCTTTTTTATCGAGATACGAAAGCTGTAAAGGTTAATCCCAATACGGCAAAAATGTGCTAAATGTGTAATAATGATGAAGTTTAAGGCAAAACTTGTGATAGATGCTGTTAAGCGCGTTCTAGATGCCACTGCACTACGATCATCACCCGTGATTTCGAAATTTGTTCATTCCAAAGCTTTTTACTTTCGCAAGCACTGCGTGTTAATTCCGTCATCAGATTATTAATTATGCTTTTTTTCCGCAGACACATAATTCGTATCAACGTGGTGATTTATATCCGGTGTCGAAAAACTAATCCCATCCCTCCAAAGTTCGTCACGACGCGCCAACCGGCAAACACCGGAACGAATGGGTCTGTTAAGCAGCTGTTGCCGCTGTATTACGCGATGACGGCGATAACCATTAGCAACCCGGCCGCGTCGTCAATTAGCGGGATGACCTTATATGCCGCCACGGCCGGCTGCTGGCGCATTGATTAAATCACAGGCAATTAGATCGGGGGGAGACGCGGCCGGGAATTTCGGGAGGGGGCAGCAATGCCGCTAATTAAATACTGCGGTGCGGTTAAAGACTAATCAGTGCGCGGCGAAGCCCCCGCTCATTTAATTAAGCAGCTTTGTCAGGCGGAAATCCAGCATTAATATCGCTGAATGCAACGCGGTCCGAGGCCGACAAATCCCGGTAATCCACGGCCCGCGTACAGCATACGCCGGCCGAAATGTCAGTTTTAAGGGAGAGTGGCAGCGCGCGGCGTAACACGAGCCGACAATCAATGCCCGGAATTATGTAATAATGTGCGCGGAGAATAGCCCGTTCATCATCGGCAGTTTTTGTCAATATGCTACGGTGGATTATGAATTTAAGCATGTCAGAAATCAGTGGCACGTGGACATATACTAGTTGCAAAAATAATTAGACTCACGTTAATTTAATTAAGCGGATACCGGGGAAATTTTCAAAAGCATAGAATCGGTTAATAATAAATATTATTTTCCTTAAAAAATCAATGAATACGATTTCAATAAATAAAGGTTACAACGCTAGTGAATAGTGTTTCTCTCCAGTAATAAGTATTATTATTATTTTTTTTGCTTTTAAGTTATTGGCAAAAATAACCGGGCAAGCTAAAGTAAAAAATACTTGTCTAAAAACTGCGGCAATAATACAACCAACTTTTATTTAATTTTCGATAGATCAAAATTTATTTGTTTAGTGATACGTGATGGAAATATTATGCGTGAGGAAACGACTCGAAAATCGTCTAGAAAAAAAGGTGAAAATTGCCGATTGACTACACGTCATAAACCGGCAGCGGCGCGACAGGGACAGACCGGGGAAAAATGTTGATCGATTTGGGTTATGCAGTTATTGCGATTATTGGCGCGACATAAGCGGCACGCAGATATTATATATGAATACCGTCATAAAACTATCGCCCATATATTCACTCGGAATTATTCGATAATCGCGGCAGTTGCGCTGCTAGCTGCAGCCGCTCCATAAACAGGAAACACACAGCATTAAGGCAAATTTATCCCCGCCATGCCGGAGTCCCGTAAAAGCCACTTTAGCCACGGCTAATCGCCGAGAAAGGTGACAGACAGGGCGCGCGCACAGAGAGACAGGTGCAGCTTAAACGAAACGTCGCGGTTATTGTTATGCAACGTGGCAGTTGTCGCCGGTTGGATGGTGTTATTTGTGCATAGTAGATACAGAGTCGATCGGAAGTCAGCTGCCGGACAACGGCAAGCCGGCAAAAAGCATTTGTCAGCCAATTATATTTCACTGTCATCTGCTTATTCCAATGGAATTTCAGCCACTGATTTACTTACAAATTCTTTACGTAATTTCAAAAGAATTTAATTATGCAACAATTTTAAAAACGTTCAACAAAAAATGCTGTTCGTATATATACGAATCTTTCATGATTCAGGTTCCATAGCATTTACACAAAAACAATAACGAATACAGGAGTAAAAGTGAGTTTAAAAGGTTTTAAAATTTTCCCAGTTTACTTTACAAAGACAGCAAAATTCATAGTCCAAGCGGCTAAAAATTGCAATTGTCACTTAGCTTTAATTTTTATGAGCTGCACAAAATATATTCCACAAAAAAATTTTGTGAAGGAATAATTTTTCCTCTGGAAAATTCAAATGCTGAATTATAAATAATTTTTAGAAGCTGAGATCATGGTTATATCCCAGCCTGTAGTTTAAAATTCCCGGTGAAAGTCTGGACGTCGGAAAACGATCCATCCAGGAAATTTCACATAATATTATTCTGGATAAAAATAGCTATTGAATTTCCTTACCTTATTGTATCCATAATTACAATCCCAGTGACGCCACAGACGTACACAAAATTAGAAATCCATTAGACAGCACAATCCACACCGGATTGATTTGTCAGCGTCGTATTTCCGCCGCGCAGATAATCGGTGCCGGTTTCCCGCGAATCTCATACAATATCTGATCAGCTCTCGCAAACGTGATGATTAATCCCGTGCAAATAACAGCAATAACAAACAACTATTATCATTCGACAATAAGGAGCCGTGACCGGCGCGTGCAGTGAATATCTGCCGATTATATATGAAAGTCCGCTTGGAAGGTTAATTACAGTGGGGAGGATTTTTTATTGCTAATACAGATATAACATCACTCTGGTCCGATTATCCGCCAGGATTCGGCGTGTGAAAATCAGCTCAGTGTCAGGCGTTGGCAGGGGGAACATATGGGCGGCTGGTGGAGCTGGTATTCACTGTATTCATCCTGGCAGCCGGGCGCAAATCTGGGATGCCCCGGCTTTTGTGTGGGCCGTACAAGCGGCGCTGATTGGATGACATATACAGCACGCTACACGCACCGGGCGATCGATACGCCGCGCGTGGGCGGTTCTTCCCTGTATACGACAGTATATTCATTTTTTATTAATAACCGGATCACGGCACTACCGTTTATTTCGGTATTAATGGAAAATCGAAAATTATATATTTTGCAAAAAAAGGTGACTTGTGGGCGATACAGCATTTCCATGAAAAGTCAGTAGCAATTTATATTACGACATATAAAAATCCAAAAAACTATGTACAGTATTTTTTTAATATAGAGAAAGTTTATGACTTAAAACTGGGCCAAAGCGTCATTATCGTTTACTTACAGATAATCAGAGCCTGAACAGAACCACGTCAAAATGCGAAAACTAGTTAAACAAACAGAGTTTTCGGAAAGAATGTCTGAATCTTGTAAGATTTATTTATGTACTTACTAGTATCAGTCATCTCGTCTGAGTTACACAGTATGTCCAACAAAAACTGGTTTACTTACCAATTATTCCAGAAAATTCTAGTGTGTTGGTATATCGAAGAATCGATTTTTTTAAAATAAGGAAAATCTTATGTGAGAGTTTTATTTTGCAATATTGATTTTTTAGAATGTGCTACAAGTAAAATTTTTGTAGCACAAAACCGTATTAGTGAGGCTAATTTTAGATGTACTGGGAAGTGCAGAAGACACACCGGAACCGTTATGTACCGGCACACAAACTACAGCAACGTTTTTTCCGTATGTGCATCCACAATACAGCGAAGATTGG